AATTCTTCTGTAGTAGCACCCAAGTAATATACTCTTGACAAGCTGCTATATGTTTTTATGTCATCTCTTAAAGCTTTCTCTATTGCTTCTTGAAATACAGTACATGTTTTTATGACATTCAAGTCCATGTTAGTTTGTCTGTTGGGTCTTAATTATCATTATTTCTTTGAAATGTCATCTATTCGAATTGGATAAGTGGTGCTTAGATAAATTTTTTCAAATTTGTTCATTTTTGCTAACGAATTCAATACCAAATGAACAAACTTTGAGCTACTCTCAATTTGCAATTACCATATATGTCAGTCTCCACTGACTTTTTTTAAAACAAAAACTGGTGATGTCCATTTACTACCACCAGATGAAACATTGTCGTGGAGTGATTTCACAGTGGAGGCTTGTATTTGTACTCAGTCGGTCCTAAAATAGGTTTGACGTACAAAACGTTAGGAACTTGATATAATAGGTATAACGCAGAGTAATCTAGTTGTGGTCGCTGATACTTTAGTATTCGACTAACTGTCGTCTGACATCGACTGACTGACTGGCTCCCTGACCGACTCCCTCGTTTCTCTTACTGCTCCTACTTATTATAGGTGGGAGAGTCTATTAACTATAGAATAGGTGTGTTCCACTATAACACCCCCTTCCTAAAACTTTATTTCGTAAGAGTAAAACAGTTTTCTTTATTTTTTACAGGAAATATGAAGAAAAAACAAAAAAAACTTCATTTTTTTAGCAACTTCGTAGCGTATCTCCTATGTTTTTGATCCCCTTTTAAATGATCAGTTGCTTTTCTTTTTCTCCTGGTTCGGCATACCTCAGGTGAAATTGTTGCAGGTGTTGTTAGATCAACGTATTGCAAATCACCTCCATCAGCGTTTCTTCCGCGGGACCACTGTCAACCACGTCTGAAAAACGTTGTCTGATCTGGTTACTGCACGTGAATTTTTCGCCTTTCACCAAGTACATCATATTGCCAATCTGCTTTTCTATTTTTGGTACCTCCATAGTGTTACCAGAAACAACCTTCTGCTTTGAGCTTCTTAAGGATGGAGTCACAGTTTCTGTAGGTTCTTCTTGTGGTTCTATTTATTCAGCCTCTAGCTTCCCTTTTGTTGATCTTGTGCTTCTTAACGTTTTCTGTGGTGACTTCATTTGACTTAAATCATTTAATAATACTGCATGTCCTTGGTTGCGGGTAACTCGCTCCTCAGTTTTTCTTGGTGTCGATTTCATCTTTACTTTTTGGAGCTTTTTTTTTCACATATATCGTCAGTGTTACCCATTCAATATACTCAACTTTTTTAAATACACTGGTTTTCTCTAATCTGTCCAATTCTTTATCTGTTCAATTGAGGCAAACAGCACATTCCTTTTCTTTTTGAATACCGCCTGAGCATTTTCTTTTATCTGGAATTTTGCCTCCATCTTGGTACACGTAGAAAATGTTCCCTTTAGTTTCTTTGCTAATTTTTGGGCTTTGGAATTTAAACTTTCTACCTTGTAACAGAAAGAATTTATTGGTAGATCCCATAATTGGAATTCTGTTATCCAATTCATACCAAGTAAGTTTGTGGTATTTTCTATGACAAATAGTTTAGCTTTTTGCGTTTTTTTATTTAACGTGACGTTTGTAACAAATTCTCCAATAAATTGTATTTTTTCTCCCGTTACTGATCTCGCGATTTTTTTTGTCTTCATTAAAGTTGGTTTCCCCAACTTCTTTCATGTATGCAAATTTATGATATATAGGTCGGAACTAGTGTCAAGTTGCATTTTTATTTTTTTATTACTTATTTCGACGGTAACAAATTTTCTGGTTTTCCATCATTCACCTCGTTGGACTTTAATTTTCTTATTTTATTGTCTTTATTTTTTGACCTGCAGTGCGAGCTTTTATGACCCACTTTTTAGAGTTGAAACATTTTTATTCCTAAAATTGCAATATCTGTACCAGTGTAGTTCACTGCAAGCAAAACATGGCTTCAGGAGTTTTTGTTTATTTTCTCTGGTATTTCACTTTTTTGTTTGATAATCTGCAATTTTAGAATTCTTTTTGGTAGACTGACTTTCTTTTTTGTAGCGTATTTTCCTTACATGCGAAATGCCAGACTATTCTATCTTTTTTGAATCTTTCTTCACACTCTTGTGCAGTCTTCTGCCAACTTCTGAACTGTAACACTTGGCTCACTTTCTAATTTTGCCAGTACTAATTTTCTCAACTCTGTGTCTCTTTCCGATACCAGCCCTTGAACAAACACCAAGCACTTAAAATTGTCTGTACTTAACTCTGCCAGCTTGAATTCTTCACAATGCTTATTCACATTGGCTGTGTACATTATATAGTCTTGTTCATCATCTTTCATCAGATTCAAACATTTCCACCTCTTGTGAAACAGAGATGTCTTTTTACTAAATAATTCACTTAATATATTTACCGCCTTGGTAAAAGTCAACTCGCTAGTTTTTTTCAGTAAAATGTAGTTTACCAACTTATGCTCAGCAGTTCCTAATTTGCTTAAAAGAAGCCTGTCTTTCCTTCAGACCACGTGTAGCAGTCCTCATTATACATGTCCGTATATTTTTTATAATACTCCTCAAAAGTTATCTCTTCATCTGGACTATACATAAATATTTCAATTGAATTCCATATTGTATTCTCTGTGAAAGAATCATTTTGTAGATTTTTCTCTTTCCTCTTCTCAGTTATTTCCAGAATTTTGTTTTTAAACTCCCTATGCAACTGTTCCATTTTTTGTTGAAATTGCATTTGTCTATTAAAAGTTTCCTCCTGTAGTTGCATCTGTAATGTCTTCTGTTGCTCTAATATTGTCATCTGTTGTTCCGACTGGAACTTAAAGAATTCCCAGAGTATATTTTTGCATTCCTCCATCTTCACAAAAAGTTGACACAATGCTTAAATATTGTATGTGGTTTCCCACGAATTTGTAATTAGTGACCTATTTGAGCAAACTGTATTATCGAGAAAAAAAAATTCTTTTCTCAGTTGAGAATACGACAGATTTTTTTGTCACTAAGTTGACGTCTCGTCTTTCGAAAAACTTTGCCAAGTTTTTTTTTTTTTTTTTTTTAGTGTGAATCCGAGATTTTGTTGCCAAAATTATTGTGACAAGCAAATTTTTTTCCTTCCTCTGTATGAGTATGAATTTTGTCACCAAATAATGTTGTGGCGTGCGAATCTTTTCCTCCTCTGTATGAGCTTGAATACTTGGGGCCAAATAATGTTTTGGCGAGCAAATTTTTTTTCTTCCACCGTATGAATTTGAAACTTCATCACCAAATAATGTTGTGGCGAGCGAATTTTTTTTCTTCCACTGTATGAATTCGAATCCTTCATTGCCAAATAATACTGTGGGGAGCGAAAATTTTTTTTCTTCCACCGTATGAATCTGAATCCCTTGTCACCAAATAATACTGTGGCGAACAAATTTTTTCTTCCTCCATATGAGTTCGAATCCTTGTCACCAAATAATGTTGTGGCAAGCGAACATTTTTTTTTTCTTCCACCGTATGAATTTAAATCTTCATCGCCAAATAATACTGTGGCGAACAAATTTTTTCTTCCTCCGTATGAATCCGAATCCCTCGTCGCCAAATAATGTTGTGGAGTGATCACAGTGGAGGCTTGTATTTGTGCTCAGTCAGTCCTAAAATAGGTTCGACGTACAAAACGTTAGGAACTTGATATAATAGGTATAACGCAGAGTAATCTAGTTGTGGTCGCTGATACTTTAGTATTCGACTAACTGTTGTCCGACATCGACTGACCGACTCCTCGTTACTCTTACTACTCCTACTTATTATAGGTGGGAGAGTCTATTAACTATAGAATAGGTGTGTTCCACTATAACAAACATGTTCTAAAAGACCTTGTTCTATGGTTTTTCATATTTTTACAGCTATCAGTAGCAAAATGGGAATTGGTAATTTTTCGTTGACTCATATGTGGGGTCAACATTTTCCTGGCTTTTCTTTCAACATTCTTGTTTATTTATCTGAATTTACAGCATTAATTAATTTTGCAGAATTTGCATTTCCAAACAAACTATGGCCTTTTTTATAACTGGAAACTAGAATGGGTACAACCTAATATTGATTCTCCATTTCTAATGTACCTTAAATCTTGAAATCATAATATTGAATACCATGTTGCAGTTAATAGAGGAATTTTATGATTGGTCCAGAAAACAATTGTTGCATAATCACGAATTTAGTTCTCTCAGCTGTAACCAATTTCCTGTTGTATTTTATGATTTCTTGTATTTCTTCAAAAGTCCTCTAACTTTCTTGGGTAGGTCATTACCAGTTCATACTCAGCTACAACTTTGTATAAATCAATGATTTCATTGTAATCACCAATTGCCTTGCTGTCTTGTAACTTCTTAATTCGGGCAGTAGAGGTAAGGATTTCAACAAAAATCAGCATTAACTGGATTCCCATTGGTAGCACCATTGTTGTAAAGTCATCTTTTATAGTAGTCAACACTTAAGTAGTTGCACAAAATGAATGTAGATGACATATCTGTTCTTATCTCAGTGAAGATATGAGTTTCCACTCTTCATATATTTAAATTTCATTCACTAGTTGTAGCTATATCATTTTACATTTTAGTGAGAGTTAAATTATTTAACTAGTAATAGGTAAATAACTTTACTAACTTGTAATAGTTAAGTCACGTTTTGAAGCTTTTATATGCAGCATTCTCACTAGGTGACTGGGGATCATGTAGTAGCAAGTCTCTTTAAACCACCAGTAACTTATTCAGGACTTTATCAACCCCAGCACTGTTGTTGTTTGTGTACAGGAAAGAGGCTGGTTTTTTTCGTATGTTTGAGCTTTATAATGATTTTATATTGTAGCTAAGGCTCGTTATCACAACTTCTGTTTGATATTGAAGCATGTTGAAGCAGTAAGAAATCTTCTCAATGATGTATATTAATCTACACAAATGTCTGTTTGTATTCTTTTGTTCTTTTAGGATGGGAACCCCAGTCACAGTTTCCAAAGCCCAGCAATAATACCCTTAAGAGATGCCTAGCATTGGCCAATGCTTTTAAATACGAGGACTCCAAATACTTGTCAGAATATTTCTACTGGGATGATATCAATTGCAACAATGTTGGTAATTTTATTTGTGAAACTGAAAAGACAAAAATACCTTCTGCTGCTGGTAAGTGAAAGAAGACACGACTATATATCTAAACCTATTCATGTAGTAAGTCTGTCTGGAGAATATTCAACCATCTAATATTAACAAAAATAACTTCCATATAGCAATAATACTTTTGAAACTAATTGTCTTGGATTCTCATGCACTCATCCTAGAGTCCTTAAATCAGTCTGCAAATTCCTTTTTTGGGGTGTGGCTTTCAACTGCCCTATTGCATATTTCTTAATTTCATTGCCTTTTCAGTGGTGGTTTTAACTTTGGGAAAAACCAGAAGATAACAAACCTGAAAGGTGCAATGCTTTACTAAAATACCATAGCATAGTGTACATGCTCAAATGGTGGAATCTCACTGCCTACTGAGTAAGCCTCTGGAAATCTATTCATGCATGCACAGTAAGGTCCCCCTCTGATTAGTTACCATGTTATGTCAAGGCTCTTGAGATATTCAAAACTGATCTTGTATGATTAAAACAACACCTACAAACAACATCCTGGTATTTAAATACCAGCACCTATGAAAAAAATAAGGATTTTTTTTTCATATTTTTCCAACTTCTCAGTTTTTTTTACTCTGCAATTCAAGACAATTTGTAGATGGTGATGAAAGCAATGATTTTTCCAAGAGCAGCTGAAAAGATTAATGCCAGAAACTGTGTGGCACATTAATATTAATAGTATAAAGGATCCATACTTTGTGGTGGGGGGAATATTTGCATTTTCCTGTAAATTCTCCTACACCCACCTAAAAAGTATCATGCCTAAGAACAAAATGTGTAATGGAAAAAACATCCCATTCCAAAGTGATTGATATTTTTCTAAAACTGATATTTGCTTCCAATAGGAGTGGCAAATCTGACAAATTATCGAATCTCGGAAATTTTATATTTATTTTTTTTTTGTGGTCATGCCAAGACCTTTTATGAACTCTTCCTTGGAAGACTTTTGGAACTATCTTAACATTAGCTCAGAGACATGCTTACTTAGAATTGTTCTATTACTTTTCTTATGTCTATTTTCAGAGTGCTACACTGGAACTGGTACTGATTATAGAGGTAGTAAGTCTGTAACTACAAAGGGTACTTCTTGTATCATGTGGACAAAATCAAGAAAGATAAATCCTTCAACTCACCCAAATGTAGTAAGTTATCTCCCTTTGTTCATATTAGCATATTATTCAACTATGTTATGTATGAGATAGTATCTAAAAGTTTAAGACTAGAATCTTCTGATTTCACTGATGTGAAAGAGCTGATAAGAATGTATGACAATGATCCTCAGAAATGACTTCACAATTTTTTTCCCACAGTTCCTGGCTTTTGGCTCTGAATTTTTAACATCTTGAACTGACACTTGATCAGCTTTTCAATGTGTTTGTGTATGTGCCACACAAAACTTGTGTTTGACCCAGAGAATGGTCACTAAAAGCCTGAGAATGTATTTCAAGGGATTCAGTAGCAAATTTGTTGAGCTTCAAAAGAGCTGTGGCCTTGCAGTAGACAGGATTCTAGAATTAGTAGATGATGGTCAACTATATCATGCCTCATAATTTGCACCTAAATCTGCATTTTATAAATGAGAACTGCACTTTTTTTATTAACAGCTTTGACAAACTTAGAAGAAACTAAGTCATCACTTGCATGTGTTGTATATAATATGATATAGGATGTAAAACATTATTTGCATACTGGTACATCAAAATCAACATTTGGTCTAGAAAGTGATCGCCTTCTGTCTGAACTAGGAAACACAGAAAGAGAGAGAGTTATCTCAAATTTCTAAGATTTTTCAGCACTGAATAAATACCTGGATACCCACTCATTTGATCCTAGATAGCTACCCTGTATATGCCATGATTTAGACAGTTTTGCAGCCACCAAGGACTGGCATGTCCTTCTATTGATCTTCTTGAAGAATTCCAAATGTATATGTATTACCAAGATGATTTACCAAATCCTTTTAATATCCCTTCATTTTGGAATGCAAATAAGAGCAGATTTCCTCTTCTGCAACAGATTGCCAGTAAGGTCATATGGATGCCTGTTACCAGCATAGATGCTGAATGTTCATTTTTTTCAGTATAAACAATTATTCAATAAACAATGTGAAAGTCTTACTCCTGTGGACACCAAGCAACTCACAATGTTGTATTACAATGGAGATTTAGAGAAGAGATTTGAAAATTAGATATTTTCAAAATTAAGAAATTAGCAATTTTAAATTTGCGCAGTATTTCAACTTGGGATAAGTTGTTTTATTTGAATTTTGAATTAATATGTTTAATTTGTTTTTATATATTTTGTTACAGAGATTCAGCTATTATTCTTTAGTTACTGTTTTGTAAAATTTTAGTCAAAATGTTTGACTTTATTCAGATATTTATTATTGAGATTCAGTTTATTTGCTGTTGATACTTTAAATGTGATTTTTGTATTATGAATCAATAATTATAAATCAATCTAAATCCTTTTACTTAAAAAACAAAAACAATTTGAATATGTTAAAGAAGGAAGCTCTAATTAAAAGTTCTACCTCAAAAGTAATTATGCACTGTAACATTCCATTGTTTTATTGCCTAGTCATGTTACTTTTTTTTATTTTTACATATAATTGATTTTTGGACTTGGATTTTAACATTTAAAAAAAGATTTGTAGATGTTTGTTATTTCTTTATATGCAATAAAACTTTGAATTATGTTTTTGTTTTCAGTTTTAATAATAATTATAACATATTGTATTGCAATTTTCTCATAAAATACTATAAAAATGGAAAAAACGAAATTTCCCAAAAGTAAAAATGGTATTTACCAACAGTGGAAACAGAATCAAGGAAAATTTGAAACAGAAAATCTAGGACCCTCATATGTGTGTTTGTATGCCTGAGTGTTATGTTTCCTTTTTATTACCATTTCTTTTTTTTTACTTTGACTTTTATTTTAAAAAATGACTTCATTTTCCAAAATGACGAATTAACCATTTGGCTGAATGAATTTTTAATACTTACAGGGTCTGGGAGATCATAACTATTGCCGAAATCCAGATGGAGACTCAAGGCCATGGTGCTGGGTGAACCGACACAAAAACCTTTTTGGTTACTGTGATATCCCAAAATGTTCTACTGTCACAACAACAACTGAGTCTGCCACCAAGGCAATAACCACAACAACTCATGCAACAAGTATGTAAATATTTATCAGTTTATCTCTCTTTCTATCTTTACTGAACCACACTAATAAACTTTTGTATACAAGACACAAACTCTTTTAATAAATGAACTAGTCTCAAAAGTCACTGACACACAACTTGTTCTCTTTTCTTAGTACACCAAAAGTTTAGTGTTATTAGTAGTTACAAAGCTTGGCCTAGTATGGCACTAGGCCACACGTACAGAGCACTTAATAAAATTTACTTGCAGTAATGATCTTTATGACTAGTTTCTTTACAATGAAGTTTCAAAATATTATTTACTAAGCACAGTTGAACTTTGCAGAAGGCAGAAATGGCAATAAAGCCTTGACATTTGATATCAATAAGAACATATTCAATTTCCAATAATGTCTTTTTTGGCACATCTTCATATTTTTCTGTTTTAAGTTCCTAAAGCCGCTGAAGATCTTTCTCAAAAGTAACCATTAATTCAATGATGTGAATCTTGTTTGAATTCATGTACCAGGTGAAAATATCAAGTCTGTGAATATTCAGTGTGATCCCAGCTGAAAAAATGCAGCCACATTCTAAATCAACTGCAAATATCCAAACTTTATAACTAGACTACTGTAAGTTGAATCTCAATGTGGCGGTGGGAAAGAAGCAGCCATTGCTCTCCATCCTAAAGGATGAAGATGATTCCTTTCAAGAAACAGTGAGCATGAGTGAAGGTTTTAGGAGAAGTTCAAGCTCACCCTATTAATGTTCTCTACATGATCCAGTGCCAAGGTTTGGTTGGGGGCCCAGGGTAACTGGTGGAATATCAATTTCAGTGAATGCCCAAACCAAAAATTGATGCAAAGAATGCTCTCCCCAAAGTTCACAGCATGTGTACAGCCAACTAGTTTTTTCATCACCATTTTGTCCTTCTTGGCTGGTGACCCTACAAAGGCTCAAAAATCTTTGTAGAATATTTCTCTTGAGCCAAAATATTTTCAGAAACAAAATGGAAAGATTCTGCAACCATAAACTGAGCTTGAGTAATAAAAAAAATACAGAAACAATACGGTTCTTTCAAAATATTACTGTCCAATAAAAGAAAGTAAAGGAATTCAGCCACAAATATTGTCACAAGATCTAAAACATAACGTGCTTTGTAGCGGTTATAAGTAATGATTTGGCTACTTGCTGTGACACCTATATTAAATAAGTCTGAAGACTAACCCCAAATGGTTTCTTCTCTTACCACTGACCTGGAGCTTTTATAGTTATGGACAAGTTCATATAATCACCAACAGTGTACTATTTACTCCACAACATATACAGTGGTATGGGCACCCTGAGGCGGTGTAATGGTTAGCAAGCTTGTCTCGCTAGCACAATTATGAATGAGTAGTGAGTTTGATCCTCATTGGGTGCCCCATACTTTCAGCCTTGTACCACATCTAAGCTACACTTGGAAAATTGCTACATATACAGTGGTAAGTAAGGGAGAAAGATGTAATATTTGCCTCTTGTAAGAAACTTACTGTAGTGACATGGGAAAAATGAACTTGTCCTATTTTACATAGTTGAGCAACTACTAAGTCACTCGGTACAGAGGGAGAACTTCTACATCACAGACTAGAGGACATCACAACAATATGGCATCACTGATAAAATTTCTAACATCATTGGATGAGTTGGACTTTGTGAAACCATGGATTTGTTATTTTCTTGCCCAGGCATGGACCAAAAGACTAAAAGATCACAAAGTTGCAAGAGGAGAGAACAAGATTAGTGACCTTTTTGGCTTCAGCAGGATGTGAGGCCATCAGAAAGATCTGTCATAGTGTATCCTAGAGAATTGGAGGATTTGTACCTTTTCACAAATTTTGGACATTATAAAGAGAAATTTGCAGCCAAAAAAGTAGTTGGTTATTGCTGAGAGGACAAGGGCCAAATGAAACAATAATACTGTATGTACATGATGTAATGGAATAACCTGTCACCCACATAAGTGACTACACAATAGGTAGTAACTACCTATAAATATCTGTAAGTCAATGGACTACAGAGTCTAGCTGGAATCTGTTGAGTAATACTCAGATTTACGCGAGAACTACCGACCTTCCAATAGTAGCACTCACTACTGGATTGACTTGGAATGACCTTGTGCATAACTGTTACTTTTCATCTTATTGTACTGGTTTTGTACAATAAACCTCTACTTCTTTTATCCACCTTTTTTTTCAAGTATATATTCTTATTAGCATGGAATATAACAGTTCACAAGCTACAAGAGGCTTCAAGATTCTGTGAGTTTGAAAAACTTGGCACTGGAGAAATGACCTTCAAAGATGAGTTGATAGAGTTGATTATAATTGAAGGTATGTGTGATGCTTCATAGAAACAAAAAAATTTAGAATGGTTATGACTGACTAAATTGTCCTTGGATGCATTTATAGTGTTTGGTCTTACACTTATGTTGTAGATTAGTTTCATAGTGGAGGCTTGTTTTTCACTAAGTCGGTCCTAAAAAGGTTCGACGTACAAAACGTTAGGAACTTAATATAATAGTTAATGACGCAGCAATCTAGTTGTGGTGGTTGATACTTTAATGTCTGACATCGACTGACTCACCAACTCACTGGCGACTGCTACTACTACTACTTATTATATGTGGGAGAGTCTATTAACAATAGAATAGGTATGTTCCAGTATAACAACTTAAAGTTAATTGAAAAATTCAATGTATCCAAGAGTAATGCTGAAAGATACAGCATACCAAATTATCTAGAGCAATGCAAATACTGTGATAAAAGCATGAACAGGACAAGAAAAACATAAAATATTCTATAAAAGATTCTTAGGTGACAGAGAAAAGTGTGATTGCTGGAAAAGGAGACACGTATTGTTAGATTGTTTGACTACACTATTGGATAAAGGAAACATTAGGGAACTTTATTACAAGCCAGAAGAAACTGACTACAATGTATTACCCTTATATCGTCTTGCATTTGAAACCTTACAGGATCCAGTATTAAGCAAGATTGCATGTAAAATAAAAAGAAATAAATGAGGTGATTGTTCTAGGGAGAGAGACTCTATAAAGAGATAAGGCACAGATTAACTATAGAGAAGGGTCTTATATGCTATGGAAATGTTTTAATACCACCAGAGAGATTAAGAAAAGATGTAATAAAAAGTGTACGTGATGATACTCATTCTGGAATAACAGAAACACAAAAACAATTAAAATTGGAAGCATGGCGGCTTGGGTATTCACATGATGTAGAAAAATACATACAAAAATGCCCAAAATGTACAGAAAAAAAATCCTTGCATAACCAAGATACATTCATGGCCTAAAGAAAAAGAGCGATGGGCCCATGTTCATATGGATCATGCACAAGTTAAAGGCATACAACTATTTTTAATTTTTGACTCATTCTCTGGATGGCCTGATGTGGTTAGTGGAAGGAAATAATAGCAAGGCTGCCATGGTAAAGCAAATATTATGAATGCTGTTTTTCAGAAATGTGGCCTCTGACAATGCACTGGAATTTTGTAATTAAACTTTGTGTTCGTGGTTAAAACAAATTTGGATGCCTCCCTTATAAAACACACCATACATACCACCTGCAATTTAATGGAATTGGAGAAAGAATAGTCTTGGAAAATGAGATTGAAGGAATTTTTTCCCATTCAGAGACACCATGGATAGTTACCTACCAAGACAAAATGCAAGCATGTGGAATAATTCTATAACTCAGTTATTACTGAGTTATAGAATTATTCCATATGCTAATAGAATGCAGAATCCCTCTGCATTAATGGGAAGACAATTTAGATTTTGCCTATAACAATGTCCTATTCAAGAAATGAAAAAATGTGGTACAAAAAAGACAAAGAATCAAGCCTTGAAAAAGTTAACTTTATTGAACAAAAGGGACATAATATGATTATAATAGCAACAAGTGGACAGAATTTATTGGTTCATTCTGATCAAATAAAACTTAGAATTGATGATGAAGAAGTTGAGATGAAAGAGGAGGAAAACATGAATGCTTCTGATAGAGAAAGTGAAAGAAACTATGGAGGATAGTTTGCACAAAACATGGACTTGAAAGATCAGAATGGAAATGAGTCCAAACTTAGATCCCCAATAAAATAAACATGTACACTCCTCAAGAAAGAGATAGAGAAGATCTTATACTATTGTTCAGAGAAGTCACAAATCAGCAAAGGGCATAAAATCTCTTTGTTTCTTGGTGGTGTAATGACATAAGCAAAATGGACTTGCCTTATTTTGCATAGAGTCAAGTGACTATTAATAAGTCAGTTGTCACTCAGTATGGAGGGAGAATCTCTATATCACAGACTAGAATACAACATAACACTTAGCATACTACAAAATATAGACAGCCCAGATGTAGTGAATAAAAGAAGTGAATTAATGGTCACATGTAGACATAAAAATAAATAGCTATTGAAAAATGCTAGACTAGATTAACTTGGGTAATTGTCTCCAACCCCTCATGTATGCACTGTATATTTACATATTTTTTTATTAGTATTATTATTTTTTTATACACACACATATATAATCTTTACTCAATTCATTTTTCTATCAGTTTATTTATTCTTCCTATATATAAATGAACTGCTCCATTATCTTATCAGTAGGCTATAAATATTGACATATTACAACAGTGTGTTTTTAATTTGTGCCTGATGATTACTATGAAACTTGGTTGCATTGTATGATGAGGAACAACTGTATATTTATTCTTTTTAAAATCAAGAGAAATTTTGTAAAAATGAAAAAATAGTAATTTCTATAACCTTTAATTAAATATTGATTTCCTTACACACACCTAAAACATGGTAAAATTAACACATTTACCTCTTCATGATGCATATATGAACCTTATGTCATTGTCTTTGATGTACATGTGTCTGTTGAATTTTATTTCTTCAAATAATAAAAACTTCTGAGATTTTTTTGTTTTGATTTGCAGTAGTGTTATTTAGTGGGTGAGTGTTGGGGCAAAAACAATGATGATACACTGATGCTGTCACTGTGAAGAAAGCCCGTGCTCAGGATGCAAATGAGCTTAATTCTTTATAATTTAATAAATTTTATTTTATAAAAATAAAGCCTTAGTGGTTTCATATATTTAATTTATAATATTGATGTAATGGAATAACCTGTCACCCTCATGAGTGACTACACTATAGGTAGTAACTACCTATAAGTATCAGTAAGTCAACGGACTACAGAGTCTAGCTGAGATCTGTTGAGTACAACTCAGACTTACGTGATAACTACTGACTTTCCAATAGTAGCACTCACTACTGGATTGACTTGCGATGACCTTGTGCATAACTGTTACATTTATTCTTATTGTACTGGTTTGTTACAATAAACCTTTACTTATTTTATCCACCGTGTTTTTCAAGATATATTCCTATTAGCACAGAATATAACAAATATTAAATAACAAAAACATAGGTGATCTTATGTCAGGGTTAAAATATCTAAGGGAGCAGTGAACTTGTTAATGAATTTAATTTTATTTATCAAAACAAAGCAGAAGTAGTCTTATATAGCAATTTCTAAAAAAAAATATGTGGCATTATTTAAAGGTTCAAATATCTATGATAAATGTATTAAAGATTATTGTTATGTTTGATAATTCCCTTTTCAGCTTCTACAGAAGAATCCTTAAATTGTCCGAAAGATGAAATGTACTGTGCCTCTTCAGCCAAGTAAGTTGAGACATTTTTCTCATATGCTTTATTCTGATTGGGAAGTTGATTTTATGGCACATTGATTGCTTTACATTGGTCATAGAGTACAAAATAAGTGATTTTAATTAGCATCTGATCAAATGACTAAACAAAATTTTTTCTTAAAAGCATCTTGGTCAGGCCAAGAACTTTTCAGCACCTATTCTTAATAATTTTTCATTCTTTGTTTTTCTTTTTACCTGACATTTTTTTTTAATTGCAGCACTTAGATGATATTTGATTCATGCTATATTGTTTGTTTACATTGATTATAATGAATACACTCTGTCAGAAATTAAAAATTTAGAATATTGTTAGATTTATTATCAGAATTCCAGATGATGAGAAACACAAAGAGAATACACAAAGTAAAATCAAGGATAAGGATATTAGTCAGAGCCATTTGCGGTATAATGAGTACTTAGAATATCTGGGTATATTTTAAACAATACCAAATAAATCATTTAAAGAAGATATTTTTAGTCTTTATATTTTGATTCTGATGAATGTAGTTGTATAGCAATTCAGTTTATAGCCCTCTCGTAGATAGGTTTCTATGGAGAATGGTGCTTATGACAACCATTGAAATTGTACCCTTGTCCACATATCAGGCATGGTATTATCCATCTTGGAGAGAAAATTTCATAGGTTTTGCACCATGTTTTAGACTGCCTTGCTAGTTTATGCAAGAGATGACTTACTCTTTGTTGGCAGTGAGTTATGTGGTAACATAAGTCTTTGGGCTTTTTAACTAATAATTTCTATAAAGGCTTAATAATTTGGTCATTCTAATGCTTATCATCCATGATAATCAAAAGCAGATCATATATCTAAAGAAGATTCTTTTTCCCCTCCCTCTCTCTCTCTGAACAAGGTTTGTCTGACTTTAATAAAAACTATTTATTGTCCCCCAGAAGCATGTATTATCCCTGCCAGACCTTCAGCATGCCACTGTCCTGTTATACCAAATAAGTATTCCTAGAGTCTGGAATTATAAAAGCAAAGTTCTTTCAATAATCATTACAGTTTGTTATCTGATTTGTTTGCTGATATGGTTTTTCCTTTAGAATATATATATATATATATATATATATATATATACTGAAAGAAAGTGCATAAGTCAGAAAGAATTTGAGCTATAAACACTTGAGTAGTAACATGTAAAAAAATTACTTCTTTTTAAAGGTGTATTTCCCTTTCATGGAAATGTGACAATGAAAAGGACTGCCCTGGAGGAGAAGATGAAATTAACTGCAGTGAGTTTTTCATAAATTCTTACATCATATTTACATTTTTCAGCATCATCTTCAAATGCTAACTTTTTAAACTTTAGCCATGCTTAGAAATTTGCATCTTGTATAAATTCAGGTTATTTCCACTGTGTGCTGTGTTTGTTATTTTCATCTAAATTTTAATTTGAATTTAGTTACTTCCCTTCACCACGCAAATTTCTGCAAATATTTTACCATATTATAATTGTGTTATTTGTTACTCCCTTCATTAGTTAGCATGACTGCTAAGTCATGGCAATACCTCATAAATAATGGACTCTTCTGCGTTTTGATGATGTGCTGAGGGAAAAAGACATTACTTGGTTTCAGGGAGAAAATGAAAGAAAGAAGGGAAGATAGAAATGGGGAGAGAGAGGCACAATCCGATTAAGCTGATAAGAACAGATACTACACTTTGATCTTAATATTTATTTACATAGAAGGTACAAAATGTGGCACCAGGGCTAAAAAGGAGGGATGGGAAATACTGGTCTTCTCTAGTCTTAACATAATGTAATCTCACTCGTTGACCCATTTATACATACAATTTTCTTTTCACCATAATACTTTTACTCGTAGCAGTCACATTGCAGTCACCAAAATACCTAATTTACTTAATGAATCCTAACATGAAGTTTTTATTTGTGCAATTTTTAGGGGAGGGGCAAAAATCAGAACCCAATGAATTTATACAATGAAAAAAATATATGAACAAGAAACTGAACAAAAACAGTATTAAGATTAGGTTCCTCCACCACAAAGAATGCTACATGTGGCAGAAGATCTTGACTAACTAGGCAAAAAATAAGACTCAAAAAATGTCTTATCCCACTGGAGAACCAAGAGATCTGTCACTTAATAGGGGAAGTGATGGGAAAAATAAAAATAAAAATGAAGGACAAAAAATGTGGTTGGCCCTATATACTTGCATACTCCAACAAAGTTAAAATGGAAAAATGCCCCAAATAGGCCAAACTAAAAATCAAAATGTCCTAAATTACCTTAAACACAGGCTGTTATGACTAATGATTTGATTTGAGGATCAAAATCCTCTTTCCCAAGTTGCATCCAACAACCACTCTAGGTCAGTATATCTCACTCACACCAAGCATGAAACTCTCACCCACCTTTTGCCAAATTTCGATTAAGAGAGTTGCACCCTTTCTGCTCTGATCTTAACTTTAAGCTGATGCTTAAAGAAAGAGACCAGTTAAGAATAAGAGAATTCTTCACCTCCATGAAAATCCTTCTGTCTTGTTATCCACATCACAATTCACTTAATGCCTGCTAGCACAAGAGGACGTAATGCTGATCCCTTTTCAGTAATAGTACCACATTGGCATAGACAGAACAGGCTTTTAGGACAAAAAACTTTCTGTCCAAGACATGGATCATGTAGCTTTCAATCATTGTGCACAATGGGTGCTAGACACAGTAGTCAAAGAAGGCCTGTCCAATAGACTCCTCCAACTTGTTGCAACACATGAACTTTAGTAAAATTGCCATCCTTGCTGACACAGAGGGTCCCTTGTAACACCAGCCAGGTGAGTGATGCCTTGTCTTTTTTAAAAACATTTCAACCTAAGCTCCCAAGGCAAAACGCAGTGTGTTTTGACACTCGATAAAAGGAGTATTCATCTCAGGGCAATCTATGGGCCACCACCTTGTCCGCATATACACTTTCCAGAGACGAAAAAGATTTGTGGGTGTCTTCTTTCCAGAATTTGCCATTACTGTCCTCTTGTGTGCACATTCATTCTAAAAACTTCAAGTAGAGTGTATGTTGACAAATCACAATATTTGGCATTCCCAGACCACGTTCATCAGGATGGAGGCAGCAGACCTCATGATGTACCAACGAGAAGTTGTCTCTCCAGAAAAAATCAAAATAGTCTCCAACTAAATCCTTTTGTTTAACAGATGGACGTTGAATAACAAAGAGCTGGTGCAGAAGACTCAGGTAGATGTGCGAAACACATATTTCAACCCTCCTCTTCAATGAAAAATTTCTTCAGATTTACAGACACACTGCTTCCTCAACCTTCTTTCAAAACTCTGACCAGTTGAGCACCAGCAGCAGGCTAAGTCTGAACCAGATACCAGTATCTTGACCAGCCCATCCTTCCAACTGATAGGCCTGAGAAGAGAAACTTTCTCCTACTCACAAGCCAACAGACTTATTGTGAATAATTATGCCCCCCCCACCATCTTATACCTGCAGATTTCTTTGCTGATTTCATCATTTTAGCATTGTTCTTTACAAACAGATACATTCGTCAGCATAGGTAGAATACCTGGCTGAGTTGTTGAACATTAGTGCTCGCAAACACAGGTGATGGCCTCAAGTACACATCATAGGGAAGACTATCCCCAGAGTCTTGACTCAGCAGATCTGCTTCAGTAACTCCCTGATTTCATCCTCAGTGATGGCCCCTTCGCATCAAGCTGCTTCAGCCTTCTCGAGACAAGTAAAGTCAGCTAAATAGGTGTTGCATTCACTGGTGAACAGCTCCTGGAAATAAGACTGAAAAGCTCACAAACGTCTTTATTTGTAGTTACCTGTCATCTGTCCAGTAATGTGACACTTGGAATGTATCAATTTGATGTGCTACGCATTTCCTCCTGCCACAGATCAGTGGCCATTTTTGTCACCTTGGAATATATTAATTTTAACCAAGCCCTAATTTTTTCCTTTTTGATTAGCAAGGAGGCCAGCTTGGTCTTAGCTGCAGCTAATTCCCCACTATCTCTCAATTGGATGGTGCCATTTAATCTAGATTCAGCTGCTGTTTGCATTGCTAATCTATCTCAATTGAGCTGGTGGCTATAATCAGCTACAAACAACCTAATTACAGACTTAAGGTGGCCTCACCACTTATTCCCAACCACACTCCCTGTCAATTCCTCTGTATTTGCACATTGAACTGTTCCTTTTGCCAACAACCATGTATTCCATCTTCTTGCAGTTGATATTTAGTCCTTTCTTTTCACTTTCCTTCATTATCTACTGTAGGATTTCTTGTTTTTTTTTCTGTATCTGCTATCAACACCGTATCATCCACATGTTTTATATTGTTAATGTTGTGGCCACCAGTAATGAATCCAAGTAGGGCTTCTAATTTTCTCAGAATTTCTCCACAATATAGGTTGAATAAGTCCAATGAAAAGATACATGCTTGTCTTACTCACCTTTCTATTTTTGTACATTTATTGAATTCATTTTCTATCTCTATGCAAGTGGTTTGCTGCCATATACTGGTTTTGGTTTATTTTGATATCCTTCCCAAATATGTCAAGGTTATCAAGCAGTTCTTTGTGACATACTTTATCAAATGCTTTTGCATAATCTATAAAACACAGCTACACACATTTTTGCATTCATATTGCTCTTTCTGATATTCTGAGAAATAAATATTGTCTCTTTTTCTGGTGTCTTTAATGAACCTGTTCGCACCTGGCTTCTTAGGCAGTGCTATGAAAATAGATCTACTTAGGTTTTCCAGTATATCACCACTGTTGTAGATTTAATTTATTATGTCTGTCATCTTGTCTCTGCTGAAATCATCTTAGGTTGCCAGCATCTCTATTACAATTCCATCTGATCCTGTTACTGTTCAATTTGGTCAGTGCTGAGTCCACTTCAGATTTTAATATTTCCAGTTCTTCAATATTTCTCTATATTGCCTGTTGTTCTCTTTTGTTGTGGAAGAGTTCTCCAATATATTTGTTCCATCTCTAAAGTATTTTTCTTTCTCTAATATCAACATTCCATTCTTGAATTTTATGCATCCTGTTGATGAGTGTCCTGTTCATTCTCATAATTTTTATGTATATCTGCTTTATCTTTGATATGTATTCTTTTTATTTCTCTACATTTGTCACTGAACTATTCCTCTTTAGCCTGCCTGCATTTGTTCTTTGCCATATCTTGGCATTGTTTTTTTTTTCTCTTTTCCATCATGTTGAGAATTTCATGTCATCCATTCTTTTTTTCTTTGTTTTTCTTTGGGATGGTCTTGATTGCTGATGTTACTAGAGCTTCTCTTAATATGTTCCACTTTCAGTTTCCATTTCTATTTTGTTTTTTGTATCTGCTTTTTACATTGTTCATTTATTTCTCCTTCAAATTTGGGTCATTCAAGAGTATATCGTATTGCAAGTTGAGTGTTGCCTTGACACTTTTCAATTTCCATAGTTTCACTCTAAGTTTACATATCACTGAAAGGTGTCCGCTTCCACAGTAGGTACTTGAGTATGTTTTGTAGTGTAAAATTGCATTCATGAATCTTGTTAGTTATATAGTCAATTTGGTATCTCTATATTTCTGAGATGAGGTATTATGTATATTATTTACATTATTTGGACTATTGTCCTCATCTTTGTTGCCATAATTATTACAACATTTCAGCCATTGTACGCTCCAGCCTTCTTCAGGTGGTTGGAATGTTGAACTGAACCCTTTATTTCGCTCACTGGGGTAGACTGTTCTAGTTCCACATGCCATGTTTAATGGATGTCAGTTATCTCCTGTTAATTTCCCTCTGAAAGTTCTCCACTGCCTTAACCAGGTATTGAACTCACACTCTTTGGGTCTAACTAACGCACATGGCACAGTGGATAAAGGGGTTAGTTAGATCCAGTGACAGGACTTAAAGAGTGTGAGTTCAATACCCAGTTAAGGCAGTGGAGAACTTTCAGAGGAAAATTAACAGGAGATAACTGATAACTGACATCCATTAAACATGGCATGTGGAACTAGAACAGTCTACCCCAGTGAGTGAAATAAAGGGTTCAGTTTGACATTCCAACCACCCGAAAGGGGGCTGGAGCATACAATGGCCAAAATGTTGTAATAAATATGGCGACAAAGATGAGGACAATAGTGCAAATAATGTAAATAATATAGTCAATTTGGTTTTTCATTTCTCTCCTTGGGGTTCTCCATGTCCATATATGTCTTGGTTGTTCTTGAAACCAAGTATTGACTACTACCTGGTCATTTGCCATACATAATTAGACCCATTTTTCTTTGTGTTCATTATGAGTTCCTAGTCCAAATTTGCCAACTATTTCCTCTTGTTGCCTACCTTGGCATTCAGCTCTCCCAATGACAATTATAATCTTTTGTGATTTGCATTGAGACTTGGTGTTGTCTAGCATAGAGTAAAACTCTTCAAGTTCTTCGTCTGTACTTTGTGCTGTCAGTGCATAAACAACTATGATGGATATGTTGATGGGCTTTCCTTTCAGTTTAATAATGATTCTATTTCTAGTTTGATTTCACCTTATTGTTGCTTTTTATCCTAACACTCTGATTCAATACACTCTTCATTATTACTATTATTTTATTACTAGTTTTATTCCATCTTATTATTGTTGCTTTTTATCCCAACACTCTGGCTCAATACACTCTTCATTATTACTATTATTTTATTACTGGTTTTATTCCATCTTATTATTGTTGCTTTCACTGTATTTTGAGTCTCTGCACTCTTCATTATTGCTTCTATTTTATGAGGATTTTGTTCTCCATCTAATTTTTGTTTCTATTATTATCATCATCAAGGAGTGTCAATGATTTTACCTATATAAAATATGTGAATGTCAGTGTGTCACTATGTCACACTTTTTCAACTTTACTCCTAGAGGCTGTAGCCCAACATATTATGCCATTTTTGAATCAGGCCGAAACTGTGAGTAAATTAAAAACATTTCAGACTGGATTTGGGCCTCCAATCCTGAAATTTTGGATTCCCAAGTTTTCATTACTGTGATTTTTTTTGGCAGTTCTTTTTTTTGATAACAATTTTTATAACTTGACAACAAATTTGGAAATAATCAAAATTAATTGCGAAATCCAGTGAAAGTCAGCCATGAAATAAAAATAATTGTTTGTACAGAAAGTAAGGACCTACATACATCAAATTGTCTTTAAATTAAGTGGTAGCAGAAAAATTATCATTGAACTTTTAAAAAGTTAGCTTAAATATTAATGTAATACTTAAATGCAGCAATCAGTTTTGAGTTCTGTAGTTTATTGTTGCCTATCACATCTAATCCTCCCTCCTTATTTTGATGAAGGGCCAATCAAGAGTCCTCCGCAGGAGCTAGCTTAAATACTACCTGAAAGGGTGGCTTTTAAGCTAATATATGTATGTATATTAATGTATAATATTTATATATAATGTAATCTATATTTATGACTTTAATTTATGAGTTTTTCCATCTTAATGTTGCTTTTTATCAGTTACTATATTTTGAGTCTCTGGGAGTGCCAGGATACTGAAAGTGTTACACACAATCCAGGTACACTGGTAGCACTTAATAACTGATCCATTAATGCTAAAGTAAATTTTGTTAGTAAATGAAACATATTTTCTCGGAGTATAAAAAGACTGATGACACCGTAATAGGTAAGTACAGACAAGTTGATTCAAAGACAAAAAAGTCCTTATTTTCTTTATTATATTTTCTTGCAGATTACAAACTGGGTCTCTTTGAGGAAAAAAATAGAAGATTTGCAATCAAAAAAGATCCTGTTGAAGTTTACATATCAATACCTTTGGAAACGGTATTTTTCTATTTTCAAATTCAGTCCTTTCTATGCATTGGAATTGTTGTATTTTATCAGCAGTTGTATTTGTACTTGTTATACATTGAGAGAGTTTAATTTTTCTTATTTACCATTTTAGCATAATTCTGCTGTCCCCTTAGTTTTTAATCATTTTCTGCACAAAATATTTTGGATGATCTAGAAAGAAAATTAATAAGCAAAGAAATTTGGAAATTTTGACCTAAAATGTTTTATCAAGTTATTCCACAATCTGTATATTAAACAATTAAAATCAAGAAGAAAGAGATTGTCTATGGTCAGGAATTGTAAGAAGTGTTACTGACAGAATAGGGCTGTTATATACAAGGTGTTTGTCAAAATTTTATCAGCCCAGCACACTTGCTAAAACTGTGCCTCCGTAAGTTGGAATCCAATCTGGGTTTTTTTTGTGTGTGACAAGCAGCAATATTTACCATTGTCATACTGAAGATTTTATTGTATAAAACCACTAAATTATGTGGCCTTGTATCAGACTAGGAAAGTTCTGGTAAATGCCTATTGACTGCCTCAGTAGTAATTAGTAAACTCTCCAAATAGACCATTACTAATGCATTGAGTTACACTCTGAGTTGCTTCAGAATTACAGTCTTGTGTCTGATTAAGTTAGATATCAACATAAAATCACTTTTGATAATGTTCACTTGAACATAGTGCAAGAAAATTTTGGTGGGTTTCAATGTTAAGATTGCGAAGGGCTTTTTTTTTTTTAACAATGATGCTCTCTCTAAGGTCTGATGGCCACTTGAGGTAGGTTACATAGTAAGAGATACAGTTTATATGGATATGTAGGGAAGATAACAGTTACTTCTATACTTGAATAGGTTAAGACTAGTGATCATGGAAGCATTCTCTTCAGTTAGTAAGGAAGAAAATAATTAAAAAAAGAAGCTTAATTCAGCTATGATTAAGAGATCCAGGGGCAGTAAGCAAGAGATTACTGTTTTTCTTTATTTATTCTTCAGTTCTAACTTAGATATGCAAACTTTTTATATATGGTTTCTTCTTTTTTTTTTTTTCTTAGTGTGCTAGAATTTGCATAAACCACCGGAAATTTGCTTGCAAAGCATTCAAGTATGAAACAACTCAAAATCATTGCAACCTTTATGACACAAATAAAGGTATAACATCATTCTTTCCACAATTTGGAACTTTTTATGAACTCAAAGGTAAGAATTTTTTTTTTTTTTTTACTTAACAGGAATATTAATGAATCCTTGGATAGTAATATAACTTATAAGAATAGATTTAATGCTGAGAGACCCACCCTATCTGAGATCTGTTTGGAAAGTATATATCCATTTTAATATCTCAGTAGTCAGTTTTATGGTGTTGATAGAATTTAGGTACCAATCAGTGTGCATCTTACTATGTATACATAAACACTCTCATATGGAGTTTACTCCCTCAGGAATGAGATGTCATTAAGTCAACTTGTGTAGAGTGTGCTCATTTAATTTTTGTGCAGGGATATCCAACAAAAATAGTACCACCCTAATCTGTCAGCCCATCAACAACAGACCCTGATTTCACTCCATGTGACCTCTGACTTTTCACAAAGCCAACATCACTGTTGAAAGGGAGGTGATTTCAAATGGCATACATGACTAAGATTAAAGGGAATGTAACAAGTTAGCTGATGGTGATCCAGTAATAAGAAGACTTTGTAGATTGTTTTGAAGTGTAGAAAGGAAACAGTAGTAAAAGTGAGAGGTTCATAAGGAATACTTTGGTCAGTCCTGTACATCTGTACCAAACATGCAGCTAACTGTTGACTGGAGATTCCAGACAACTTCTTTAGCTGCTGCTGCTGCTTCTTCTGTCCAGGATGCTTGGGTTATAATTTGCAGATCAGATGAAGTCTCCACTCTCAATCTGCTTCCTGAATCATCTGGTGTTATGTTAGGTACCGCCACAAAATTGCTACAAAAAAAATATAGCATGAAAAAAAACGATGTAATAAATTTTTATCGGCTTAAATATATATATCATTCTTAAGAAGAAACACCAAAGTATTTTTTGATTATTTTTAAAAATTTTTACTCATTCTTATCAGGTCCGAAATTTTATTTAAAAAAGTTGTTTATTTCTGTCATCAAAATTACTTAAAAAAAGTAGCTATCAGCCATTTTTTTTCTAATTTTGTAAACAAGTTAAAATCCTTGTTTATAATTATTCCAAAAATCAATTCTACGTTTTTCAAAATTTATTTGATTAAAATTAGCAAAATTAAAGATTATTTAAAATATTTTGAAAGAAAGCTTTTACTTACTTTTTTTCGAATAAAAAAATTGTTCGAAATAAAAAGTAGGCGATCTGAACTGTGTTGTCATTTTTGAAGTGCTGAGTGATGCCTGTCATCACATATCGACAGCTAACGCGAGATTCGCGTTATCATACGGATGGTCATACGTGACGTAACATGTTTTTTTTTTACGTGAATCAGCTTATGTACTACCCGTAATTAGTAGATAACAAAAAACAAAAATTAGTATTCCAATTTCCTTTATTTTGTTATTTTATTATTACTGGAACTTAAAACATAACTTTGTTGATACTGTGGAATAATGTATTATTCCATCTACAACATTTTATGAGTTTCCTCCCTTTCCTCCACACTCGCGTGTACCTTTGAATGTTTGACACCCCTTCCTGCCTCTTTCAGTCAAATATAGTAGTAAACTGTTTTGTTAACTTCAAGCTACTTTTTGCTATTCCTTCTTATGCAAATTAGATTTTTGAAATCTTCCTTGCGAAATTTCTGTGACGTCACGGACAAACTGTTGTTTCAAAAGTTAGTTGTGATCCAGACTCGGACCTAAGCAGAGACTCATTTATCCCTGTCGTTATTTAAGGTTAGAGACGAGGGATATCTTACGATGTTATCACCAATAATTAATTCTTCGTCCCTTTTGGCTCATCTCACAAATCCTTCTTTGAGGCGATGCAAACACCAATAATTAATTCTTCGCCCTTCTGGACTCGCCATAATTAACTTCTCATAGACATCGACTGACCGCAACTAGCTCTTCGTCCTTTTGGCTAGACGTCCACAGCATTCCGTTAAAATTCTCAACAGTTAATTCAAGACCTGACCGAACTCTGAGACCCTACTTTGAACCTGAACAAAAAAAAAAAAACAAAAAATCACATACACTCTCAATTCACGGGACTCTAATCTGCTTTGAACCATTACCTAAAAAAAATATACATAACATTTCACTCACACTAACAAAAACTCGCAGTGAGTATTTTTTCTTTGTATGTATATTATTCTGGTAGATTGACTTTTCTGGAACCTTCTTCTTCAAGAACTTTTCCGCCTTAGCCATCTTATTTTCTATTTTGGCGCTGAACATTTTCATTGATCCCTACCACGGGATAAGTTACTTGTTTTCTTTCATTTAATAAAAAAATTACTCTTGTTTGAATCCAGTCTTTTTCTGTCATTATGTGCCGGCTATCTTAATATATTTAATTTGTGCACGTGTGGACTAACCACATCACTTTGTTGTTCATTCACGCATTTTTATCTTTTTTACTTTGCTTGTAGACTCGGCAGTTTAGTGTGGTGTCTGGCACAAGGCCACTTGGTAATAAACCAGCACTGCACCCTACCGGGCCTGCAACAATACTATCTATAGAGATAATAAATACTATAAATAATGAAATCTACGCAAAAACTCAAGCCACGTGACGTTTTATAGCTTGTGAACTTCCGTATTTTTTAATGACAAACCATTTAAGCGCTTTTATCAAAACATAATTACATTTCTTCATAAGTGGGGATCATCGGATTGGTCCAAATTATACAATTTTCAAATCCCTAGACAATGACGAGCTAAGAAAGAGAAGTACAAAGGTGGATGGTGCTGTTATTTATTTTTTATAATTTTAAAAAATTTAATGAAAAAGTGTTAAAATTTCGATTTAAAATTAAAGAAATGAGAAATAATTGTATTAAAATTCAATTTTCATTGAAAAAATTTTTTGCTTTCAGAAAATATTGTCCATATTCATACAAACAAATAAAGACAAATAAAAGCGTTTAAGATTAAATAGTATATTTGTTTTTATTGAGTTTTGTATGTTACAATTCAGAGCTGATTTTCAGGTAATGGGTTCATTAAAAAAAAAAAAAAACATGATTTACATTCTTCAAAGCCTTGTGCTTTAATATTGTAATCACTAAAAACCGATGGTATGGAATTTTTTGAGTTTTTTATAAAATTAGATATGGGGGTGTTAATAAAAATAAAAAAAAAATATTTCTGCCATGACTTTAATAAAAAAAACATATTCATAATAATTTCGATCATCTGTGAATATTTTCTGAAAGTTTCATTAACATCTGACAATTATTTTTATTTTTACAAGATTTTCCAAATTAATAGGTATAATACCAAAAAAACGCGCTAAAAATTATCTATGTTATTTAGTATTCCTTATTGCAAAAAAAGATAAACAAGGTTTTTAAATCAAAATTTAGAATATTCTAAAAAGATGGAAAAATTTTGAAAAATAATTTAAAAAAATTTGGTCTATCCTCTTCATAAAAACATAAGCATTTTGACGATAAAATTTTGTTTTCGTAAATTTTGCCGTCTTTTTCATCAGACTATGCTCTATTTTTTCACAATTTTGTGGAGATACCTATGTTATGTACTCGCTGATTGAAATCGAACCAAAAATCAAATCTCTGTCAATTGTATGGGCCGTTGTATTGTTTTGGGGTGTGCCTGAAGCTGTAAGGGAAAACGTGAACAAAGGACTCTGGTTAACAATTCAACAATTAGGTTTATTGATGTCTTGATTCACTCCAAGCTCAGTGGTTGGTTCATAGGAATAGGGGAAGTCCAACTTGAACAGGCTAACAGGTATGGACAAACAACTAGACAGCCAAACTTTCAGGCTTGGTCAAGATCTAGTCTTGAGTGAACAATGGGTTGATAGTGTTGGTAGTGTGGCGAGCTGGCTGGCTGGCGGTATCTTCTGTTGCAAATTTGGCAAAACTGCAACTAGGTGATACTCTGCAAAACTGACTTGACTCCCATTTTCCTCTCTTTTATATGGAGAATTTCTCAACTCTGAACAAAGAACACTCACATTTCTAACATTATTTGTCAACTTCAAATTGGTTATCAGTTCACATTTAAGTACTTCTTATTTTCCTTACTCATATCTCACTTTCAAATCAACTCTTTTCTTAGATATCCTAAGTGCCTTCAAAACACCAATTCTATTTTCTCTGGTTTCATAAATTCGTATTTTCATTTTGGCCCTCATTTTGTTCTTTGTCTGAACGGCCCTTACCTAAGACACTTCAAGTGTTTTAGTGAACATTGACTTAACTTTTCACATTTAGTCACTTGTTATTTCTTCTCAGCCTTTATCTCTGTTTTCTTAAAACAACCTTTTTCTTTCTGCAGGTGTAGACACCTAAGTGTCTTAGAAGCACTTTATTCCATTTTATCTTACTCAATTTATTTTTTTTGATCATTTCAAGTAAATCTTTAGTAAGTCCTTATTTTATTTTTAACCCTTCTTCATTGATTCATACTAGAGCCTTATTATAATAGACAATTATTAACATGCACAGTATAGACAAGGGTTTCACCTTGTCACACAATAAGAGAGAATAGATATTTCTACATTTCCTTATGAAAATGGTTCTTTATGAAATGAGCTCCTTCATTTACTACAGAAGAAAACTCATCTTTTATTTAGCCTCTACATTTTAAAGCAACATTTTAAATGAAGCAAAAAATCACTAAACAAAGCTAAGAATGTCCAAACTGTATTTTGAAAATCTTACCATGAAAATCACTGGTTCCAAAGAATGAAGTATATTATTACATTGCTAACATTTTTCAAAATTATCAAAAAGTGTGTGTGTGTGTGTTTGAGAAAGATAACAATATATGAATTTTACATATCAAGAACAATATTGGGGGAAAATATTTGGAAAAAGTTATCTGAACTTAACATAAATTTGTTACTACTACATCTAAAACAGTACAAGACTGAGTCAATACCAAGCAAAACAGTAAGCTTAGGAATTTACTTGATTGCTTGTAATAATTGTCACAAGAAATTACATAGGAGAAACCTCAAGGAATCTTAAATAAAAGATTATATTTACTCAAAATAGCATTTTACAAAACAATACATCAAATGTATTAGTTGCCTACTGTAAAAAGACTGATTACATTTTTGACATAAAAAAATGATACTCTGATCAAAGGAGAAAACAATTCACTATGATGAAAATGTTTAGAGAATGCCTGGATCACAAAGTCATCCACAGTAAATTTGTGCCCTGACTCTTACAACATTTCACCATTTCCAGCAGATCTATTATCACAGTGTGGGATATCTAATAACAAAAGTGATGGAAACAAAAAGAAATAAAAAACCTAATGAAATCAGATTGATTATATTAAAACAAACCAAAAAAATTAAAATTAAAAATTCATGGCATCCCTTGTGTAGTTGCAAATAAATTTAGTCTAATGTAGTTCTAAAGGACAAAATGCATTACATAAAACTTTTTTCCCCTTTTTGCCATACATTTTTTTCCCCAATTTATGTATGTATGTGTGTGTGTGTGTGTGCATATATATATATATATTGCTTTCCTTTTCAGAAACTTGTGAAGAAAATGATTTTCATTGTAAAAATGGGAAGTGTGTGTCCAGTGACAGAGTCTGTGATCAATACAATGATTGTGCCGACTTCTCTGATGAAGCTGAGTGTGGTAAGTGTGGAAGAATTTGAACTGTATTCATTACAAAGAAAGGAAAAAAACGGTTGTAGTTTAGTAGTAATCTATCAATCTATGCTTCCATTTCCCCCACTAAAATCTTAAAATTTCCTTCAGAGTTAGAATTCAATCCTCTCCATTAAATGTTCATGTTTAAATGATAGTTTTAGTGTTCCAACTATCCAGCTTCTTGGAAATGCATAATTTTTGCCATCATGAAGAGATTAGATTATGAAAATTAATACAAATATTCTTTGCTCTCTTACTAGCCACAGACATGATTGACAATTGCTTGGTATGTAAGGTAGTTATGGGAGAGTGCTTTGCTTAATGATCTAATTACTCTTATCTTCATCAGTTATTGTGGCACACTAGTGATAAGGCCTTTTCCTGTCATAGTATCTGGTAACAGGACAAAGTTCTAGGTTATTAGTACTAAGTGGATATAATTCAAAGTTTGCTAGCATATTGTGTATCCTGACATCAACAGTTCTTTAATGTTTCCACATAAGTATAAATGATGTAAATTCAGTGAAGAAATCATATAGCCAACACCTCTCTATCTATGCCTGGAAATGTTTCATTTAAGACTTGATATCATTGGATGTGCAACTATAGTTGTGAGCAACAAAAGACATGAAACTGGAGAGCCATGTGCTGAAGGATCATGGCACAGAGTGAAAGAGAGAAAGACTCTTTATACTTTCACTGTATCTTCTGTCTAATCTAGAAAGTGATAGATAGAAAACTAAAATATTCAAAATATTATATTTGTAATCCACAATATTCTTCATTTTTTAAATTTCATTTCTTATATAAATAATTTATAACATCTTCCAATGTTTAATTTACAAAGTAGTAAATGAAAGAAACATTAGTGTAAAATTAATAATTATTAATTAATAACTGACAACACTTCATCTAATAAAATTCAAGACATTATTCCAATGAACATATATAGAATGACAAGTTGCAATGAAAATCCACTGAAAGTAAGATACAAGAAATAAGTTGGATATATTAATGGCTGTTAATGCTTTATCTAATTAATAATAGAATTAAAGATAATATTATTAATGGCTGTAGACTGATGGTATGAGTAGTAATGAAAAGCAACTGAAATTTAAGATGAAATATTAGCCAAGTATTAACAATCATTGACAATGAAAGCGAGGTCAAACAGGGAAGAATATTTTATTTCATATTGTCCGAGGTGAATAAGAAACAAAATATATTTATTTAAAATCATCTGACACTTTAAAATAGTGTTGATAGTAGTGTTTCCACCAACATATCTGAAGCTGTGGGGTATTCACTCATATCATAGTTGTAGAAATTAGGCTTGTGTTCATGAAGATAAAAACAGGAAAATAAATATACACAATAACAGGAAAAGTATGGTAAATTGTATGTTGATTGTATGTTTTTGTGTGTATTGGTGTGTGTATTTTTTATGTTACAATTGTGTTATGGTACATGTGACAAAAGGGAGAAATTTACTCTGTAGTATTACAAGCCATATCACAAAGAGAAGTCAGACACATGTTGCCTGCCTGAGGGTTTTTGGTGAAGAGATTGAATATAAAATCTTTTGGCAGGATGTCCATATTTCTGACAGGAATAGTTTTTGTTGAATGCTGGGAGTAATTTTTTTATTTTTTATTTAATTTATTTTAAACAAGGTTTAAATATTATTGTATTGTTTTATTTTATTTATAATTTTCATTATTATTATTATTTTATATTTTACTTTTATTTATTTATAATAATAATGATAATAATAATAATGTCCCTACAATTCCCTATACACTCAAAAAGTCAGGAATAAATGAACGCTCTGAGAATTTTCGGTGAGCATGAATTTCACATCTATTTTGAGTGTGATTGTTTACTGCACATTTTATCAGTATTCTTTCATCAAAGTATGACATCTGCTTAGTTGGTCACATGATCCAGGATATGTACTTGGTTGGTCATATGTTTAGTAATGTGTAATGTCGTCATTAAAATATTTCATGATTTGATAGGAGAGATTTCCTTTAATCCTGACATCCATAACCAGCGTTGTTATATGACATTATTCTGATTTACATTTTCTGGAACCAACTAGACAACATGAAAAATCAAATTGCACCAGAAAACATATTGTATTATTGATGAAATAATTATGCTATCCATTATTTTGTCAGACTATTTTCATTTTTATTGCTTATAACATGTTTTGTTTGATATTTTAAACTGACCTCTGCTAAATCTTGAAGTTATTCTTACAATAGATCTTTTATTTTTTCATCTGTTTTTATGCTAACAGGACAAGCTCAAGAACTTAATACACACCTTTTATTTAGTTGAACTTTAGTATTTTAGTTGAAAAAGAAAAGAAAAAAGTACTAAATGATTTCTAAAAACCAGGAAATGCAATATATGTCTGAAGAAGACTGTAAAAAGTATCAACAAAAATGTTGGTTAAAAATAGCAAAAATAAAGAGAACTATCCAAATATATAAAGAATAATGAAATTAACTTATGTACACAATTAAAGTGTTTATGTGCTTTTTTTATTTGTTTCTCCATAGATACAGAGGAAAGCATTGAAGTGCGACTAGTAGATGGTCCTGATGAACACTCTGGCCGTGTTGAGATCAAATATCTCAACGAATGGGGAATTATCTGTGACGATGGCTGGGATGTTGATGATGCCAATGTTGTATGCCGGATGCTTGGATATGAGTAAGTTCATAACGAAGGGGGATAATTATTTATTAGTGGCCAAAATCATTTACTTTTACTCTATTTTTTGTTGCCTTCAGAATATTTTTCTTGGCTCACAAAAATTTCTACTCACTGTGTAGTAGCATAACTATGTAATAAATTTGGTTGACTGTCACTTTTCAAGTTCTTTCCATTTTTGATCATCACACATGCACACTCGCACACACATACACATATATGTATATATATGTATGTATATAGTTTGAGTATGGCTAGGAATCTGACAAAATGATAGGATAAAAAAAGAAGGAAACAGATCTCAATTTGACGTTTCACTTTAGTTTCTATCTTGATCTCTGACAAAGTTTTAATAAAGTGAAACGTTAGATTAAGATCTGTTTCCTACTTGTTCTTTATCCTATTTAAAAATATATATACTGCTATTACAATGTTAAATACTTGAAAATGATAGCAATAAAAACAAAGTGGTAGGAATTTGAATAAGTTTGGCAAGCTTATCCCTCTGGATACATCAGACGCCAGAAATTAAATTTTTATTATCCATGTATCTTCAGTGTTTACTTGATGTTTACCATGTTGTTATTTAGTTACAACAATTACCCATTAGCAGTCTAATATATAAAATTTGTATATCATCATATTCTCTCATATATAAGCTTCTTATAGTTGCTTTAATTTTGCAGCTGTTATCATCATATAGCAAACTTCTATGTAGATATAACAGGATATCGTCTTTGATGGTGAATATCTTTGTTGAAATATCCATATAACCACTCTGATGATGGCTCATGTGAGCCAAAAACTTAGATTGAGGAAGAGCATAATAAAAAAAAAAATATCCAAATGTTGAACAGTTTTTGTCTTTATTTACTCCTGAAATTAAAGAAACTATATGAAGCTTAGAACGGCTCATGATCAAACATAATAGACATTTGTTGTCTGTTATATTTAACAATATATGTTTGAAAATATATATATACATAGAGAGAGAGAGAGAGAAATTTGGGGCCAATCAAGAAGGGATTAAAAAAACTGACATCATTTGATCATAATTGGGTAAAATGACCTGGCCCAAATCATTTCAGTACTTGTGTGTGTATATATTAATTTGTTTCTCTTTTGATGACTTATAAATTGTTATAAAACAAACTTTTTCTTTTATTTTTATAGTGCTTCTGAATCTCACTCTTTGCCATTTACAATTTCTGATGGAAACCGCAATTTCTTTCTCTCCCATGTTGCATGTCATGGTAATGAGACCAGCTTATTGGAATGCAAAAGAGACCCATGGGGAAATCACCAGTGTAAGGCACATGAAGTTGTTGGAATTGTTTGCCAGGTGAAAAAAGGTCAGTATGCATCAATTTAATCACTAATGAACAGAAATAAAGTCTTTAAAAAATTCACACAAGTAATTAATATTTGATTAAAACAGAAGAGATGACACATAGACATCAGCTAGGAGAACAAATACAAAATGTCAAAAGTAAAGAGGGCCTGAAGTGACACTTGACAAAAATCTGTAGCAGTCAACAGAAAAAGAAAGGTGCATGATTGGAAGCAGAATTTTCTTACATGGTTAGGGAGACACAGTCAGAAGTTGAAATTAAAATACATTAAATCTTAATAGGCAGACATTCTAGAGAGATGAAGGAGTAAGAAGATATTCTAAACTTCATTCCTGCTGGGATATGTTTGAGAGTGCAGGTCCCTGATTGTAAAGAGGACTACTGAAATAAGTAGTTGAATGCCTTGGGCAAGAAAAAAGGAAAATGTAAGTCAAATGTTCTCTTTGATCCAAGTGCAACAAAGGCTTTTGCAATGGAAAAACCTTAAGAGAAAAAGTTCTGCTGATAAAAGTAAAGAAGCTGACATCCTTTTTTCCCTTTAAATATCAGCTTTAAGTAACAGACATTTAAAGCTGCAGTTAAAAAAAAAACTGACACTGGCTCTAGTAAGTAGAACATTCTTGTGTTGTTTTCGTAAATTGTTGTAAATTGAAATTGTTCTTTATCATGTTTCACATACTTGCTCAGATTGAATTTTATGGGGTGAGATTACAAGCCTCATCCTCAACTTTTTGATATTTTTACCAATGGTTAGAAGAGAGAAACAGATTCCACTCCAGATTTTTGAATCCAGAATTATCCTTTACATTGCCAACAAATGCTAAATAGTACAGTCTACCTTACTATTTTACTTAGTACTGGAGGGTGGCGAAGAAATGTATTTCTGATTTCCCACATGATACAAGTGAACACAAATTATCTCTGTTGAAATTTGAACTCACCTTGCCAAATATATTTTCTATGATTTTAACCATTAAGCTACTATATTTTTAATATGTAATTTCAGTTTAAAATCTATCTAATGTCATCAAATTTGGAATTTTGATCAATAAAATAAAACAGTATAAAATTCTAGTGTAAATAATTTTATTTAATTGTTATTTTAGTTTGTCCAGTTGACCAATTCACTTGTGCCTCAAATAAGCATTGCATTCCCTTCAATTATATTTGTGATGGTGAAGGTGACTGTGAAGATTACAGTGATGAGAAAAACTGCAGTAAGTATATCAAATAAAATTTGTCAAGTCTGAGAAAACACTATAAATTAATAAAATAAATTAATAAGTTTTCTTTCATGGGCTATAAAATTCATCAATTTTATAAATATCACCATTTTTTTTTTAAGATGGGAAATAAATCCTTTTTTTACAAACTCTAACTTTAGCATTATTAAATGAAGTTCAACTGTTATTAACTTTTGTCTTAATATTTCTTTCATTTTAAATGTTATGTTATTTACATTAGTAATTTATAGTATCTTGATTTTTTTTTTATATTTGAGATGAAGCCCTGTTAACAATTATTCATTTTTGGTTAGTATTTCTTTCCTTTTAATTTCAATTGCTTTAGTCATATTGGTAGTATTAGTAGCAGTAATATTATCTGGAATTTTTATTAGATGAAGTTTTGTCATCTATTAATTTTTCTGAAATATTTATTTGATCTTAATTTTAATTGCTTTATTCATATTGGTAGTATTAATAATTTTATTTAATTTTTCTGAAATATTTATTTTTTCCTCAATAGGATTTGATAGATTCACCTATCATCTAGTTCACACTTCTGGCCTTTTGAACAGGAGTAGAGGTTTATCCCTTGTTTCTTGTTTAGGATTGGGTTTCCAGTTTCTTCTAAAGTCTACTTCAACTCTATACTTATAATGTCTCCACTTTAACTCTGAAATATTATTTACTATTTACTTTTTTCAAAAAAAAAAGTTGATAGGTTTTAGGTTCACCTATCAATCGGTTAACACTCCTCTCCAGTCTTTTTGAACAGGAGTAGTTTATTCCTTGATTCATGTTCAAGATTCGGTTTCTAGTTTCTTCTAAAATCTTCTCATTCTTTTTCACTCCCCGTAGCCCTTCTAAAGTCTACTTCATCTCTATACTTTTCATGTCTCTACCTAAACTCTGAAATCTTATTTATTATTTAATTTATATTTATTTTTTATCAATAGGAGTAGATATGTTCACCTATCACCTAGTTTGCACTCCTCCACAATCTTTTGAAAAGGAGTAGAGTTGGATCCTGTTCATGATTGGGTTTCTGGTTCCTTCTAAAATCTTCTCATTCTTTTTCACTCTCCGTAGCCCCATGCCTCTTAGTAGCATTATCATCTTGTTCAGTGTGAATTAATTTTTTTTTAATAAGGTTATCTTGAATTTTTATTAAATGAATCATTATGAATCACTATCAGTTTTTCACTCTTATTTCGCTTATCATTTTTCTATTGTTTTTCATTGCAATTACTGAGACTGCCATTCTACAGCCATTAGTTGTAATAGTAAGAGGGTGAAAGAATCTGTGAAAATGTTCTTGTAGATAATCAGTTTAATGAGCAAAAACAAAGTTATAATACATACTGATAAGTAACCCAGGGAACAGCATGAAAAGAGGCACAATGCTCATGTGGCTGAGGAAGTAGCAATTATCATGGTCAATGGAGAGCTTGGAAAATAGGACATAATCCTCAAGGAAAAGGTTACGACAACTTTTAACAGATTCTCAACAACCTCATTTAGTGCAAGGAGAAAAATTAATTTGTATGAAATTGACAAACTTATATCCGCTGAATTTCCTGAGTCAGAAGATGATCCTGAACACTTTGAAGTGGTCAAGATTCAATAGATCTTTGGCTCTTATGGTCACATCAACACTCCTTGCATGATGGAGGAAAAAAATGTACAAATGAGACTTTGTACAAGCAGCACAGACTGGTGACAAGGCATACCTCACATATTATAAAAGAAAGCCAGATTATGGAGGACTCCATATCATGCTTAAGGTTTGTGGTGTAGAAATTAATATGGACACTCAGTAGGTAGTGTCATACATGAATGTTGAATTCATTTCTGCTCCAAGAGCATAGTATGTGAATATGTAACCAAAGGAGGAAACATGGCAAACATATTCTATCTGTTGTCAACCTCATTGTTCATTTGGAGAATAGCCAGAGAGTTTATTTTTATTTCATTAAGGAAATTATTCTTCAGTGAGTTTCCCAAGCTCCTGACACAACACGGATACCCTTCTTCAAGTTGTGTAGAGATGATTTCTTTGCTTGCACTCTTGTTATACAGTGAGGTTCCATCATACTACACATTTGAAAAAAACAAAAATATGAAAGAGGTACAGTTGAGAAAAATCTGTGGAATGATAAGAGTATATCAAGTCAGACACACCAATTAAGTGAGAATGCTTCTTCTTTCACATAATCCTTCATGAAGTGAAGGGACAGCATCATTTGAAGATTTAAAGATCATCAATGGCACTGAATATGAAGACTTTCTTCACCTCAGAAAAGATGAAATCCAGCAACTGAAATCTATTAAACGATAGCATCTACATCAAAGCTCTTTTGAATGTCCAACAAAGCACCTTCTTCATAATCATGGCCAACATCTAGAACAATCAAGGTAGGATCTTCTTGAATGCTTCTGGAAGTACAAGCAAAACCTTTTTACTTAAACTATTGTTGTCAAAGATGAGATTATGCTAGAAGCTTACTCACACAATAGCTTCAAATGAAATGTCAGCCACACTATTGCAAGGAGGAAGGCCAGCTCAGTCTCTCTCTCTTTCTCTCTCTCTAGAATTGAACCTGAAGCAAAATCCTATCTGCAAACATTCAGCACATGTACGGATTTCCAGTGGTGCTAACTAACCATATAGGATGCAGACACAATAAACCACAAAAGAGCCTTAGAAGCACTGGACCGAACAATACCTGAGAAACAGTACAGCTTTCATGGGTGGTGTAACAATGGTTTTTGTCTGGTTTATCAAAAAAATTTTTATTAATTCCCAAAGTAACACATGCAAATGACATCAATGCATGCCTCAAGTTCATGACTGGAGGACTTTCATAATATGGCTTTAAAATCCAGGAAAATTTGGAAAAGCTAGCATAAATTGGCACTTCAGCTAGTGTATGTATGCATATATGTGTGTGTGTGTGAGTTTGTGTTTGAGCTTCACTGACGAGAAAAGGCAGATTGTCAGCAATACAGTATTTACAAGCAAATCTTTAGTACTTATGTCTAAATGGATGCACAATTTTAACAGGTCTCACTGTCCTTTTGTTTTGTGTTGTTTTCTCTGCAGACATCAAAGTACAACTTGTTGGTGGCTTCTCAGAACTCAGTGGAAGAGTTGAAATCATCCGTGGAGGAGTGACAGGAACTGTCTGTGATGATGAATTTGATGACAATGATGCTACAGTTATTTGTAGAATGATGGGACACAGGTAATTTTGAGTTTTATTGCTTTTACATTTTCATGGCAAATTAACTAAAACTGGGACATTCAAAGGCATGGCATGTGGAATTAGAACAATCTACCCCCATGGACTAAATAAAAGGTTCAAATTGAACTTTGAAATTCCAACAAATATCACCTAAGCACACAACAGCTAAAACATTGTGAATGTGTCAATAAAGATGAGAACAACAGGCTGATCAATGTAAATAGTGTAAATAGTTCATTCGTACACTTGAATTACTTCTTTAAATGTTTACTATTGTAAAAACAATGTTTTGATTGATCCATTTTCCAGCCTTTATCATGTTTTATTTTTTTTTTTTTTGCATATTTACTGTTGTTGACATTTTGGCTGAGCCATTTTCCAGCTGTCATCATATGTATTTCATAAAAACAAAGGAAACTTCTTCCTCAAGAAAACAACAAATTAGCAAAAAAGATTATTTATGAATATACCCACTGGTCAGGTGTATTTCCACATTAGGTTTATCAAGTACTCAAGTGTTTACAAAATATAATTATATATATATATATATACATACATACATACATATATATATATATATATATATATATATATATATATATATATATATATATATATATATATAATGAACATTGAAGTCAACCCTTAGAGACCTGATGATTGCATCTAGCATGAAACAGACTGTTGCCTCTAAGTGTTGACTTCTATGTTCACTTTTATATTTACACAGGCTCTGTCTCTGATATTGAGCACTTTATCCCATAAATATAGCACACCTTAAGAGTATATTTTTTATTTATTTATATATATATATATACAAATATAGGATTGGTATATACGGAATAAATTCCAATAACCAAGAATTACTATTCTTAAAAGATTGCTCAATACAGAGTAGAGCGAATATAATTATTTATTTAAAAATTATAACATAAATATGGCTATTTTTGTAATGATTTTGTAACATATTTATGTTATAATTTTTAAATAAATAATTATTTATATATATATATATATATATATATATATATATATATATAACACTCCTTTAATACTGATAGATGCCACTTCCTTCAGCTTCCTTATTTCCAAATGATGCTCTTTGTAAGTTACCTGAACTTCATCCCACATTCTCCCTTTGCATATGATCCATCATACCAGATTTTTCCACCTCACCATTAGTTATATTCTTTTGTGTGTTTCATGAAACTAATTTTATAGAGAATTACTGGTTTCATTCTAATATGTATAGTTTCTTATAAAGACCTTTTTCCTTCAGACTTTTCTATCGTAAGAATGGTAATCTACCTATTAAGAACCACATTGATATTGTAATATTGACAAATCTTTGGCATCTGTTCCATTGTTTTTCTTATATAAGTAATGTTTACTGTACACACATTGTCCTACTGGTGATTCTATTCCCATTTGTTAATTCCACCTTCCACCACCATTGCAACAGTCATTGTTATGTAATTCCGATTAACTTTGCTAACAAAAGTGTTTGGGTTATTTTTTTTTATACTTAAAAGTGTAAAAAAAAAAATTACCCAAAAGGCTTAATTAAATTATTTTAAAATTTAAATTTAAATGTTTTGTATAAAAAATTACTGAAAGTTCTCGGTGTAACCAAGAATAGATTAAAAAATAAAATTTTAGTCATTTGATCAGATTTTGGAAAGTGGGTCAAGCTAAGAATATTTCAGCATTAATGTAATTTTACTTTTTTTAAAAACATTTTCATTTCAGTTCTGGAAAAGTAATTGTGAATACATTTGGAGAAGGAGAAGGTGCCATCTGGCTTGATGGCCTCACTTGTACTGGATCAGAAGATGAACTTAAAATGTGTCCCAACCTTGCTTGGGGAGAGCATGACTGTACCCATGAGGAAGATGTTGCCATAAGATGTTTCAAAGAAGCAGGCACAACTGTACCAACAACCACAGTTATAACTCCAACTTCCACTCCAAATGAAAATGGTAAGTAACCTGTTTCTCTCGTTCATTGTAGACTAATATTCTCATTTTCCAAGAAGTATTTAGACAATTGATGTCATTCTATTTGTTGTTAATCATAACATTTTGGCTGATCTATTAGCATTTCACTTTCAAAATGAGAATAGTACCAATTGAAATGAAGTAAAAACATAATTTTCAAAAATTGAACTTGATTGACAATAGATTTTTATGCCAAGTGAGTAAATGGGACAAGTTTGATTTCTGTAAAAGGAACTTGAGTGAATTTTCTGAGTCTTGAAGTCTCAATAAAGGGGCAAATTTTACTTTGATATCCACCCCAAATTAAGCTTCTTACTCTTAGCTGGGGCAATGATTGTAGCATGTATATACATTCATACCCATCATCATCATTCACCAAAATATTACACTTACTCAATGGGCCTACAAGTAATCATAAATCATTATTGAGAAGGGGACAAAAATACCCATTTTGAATAAAATAAACAAATCAGGGAGTGGTGTAGTACATGACCCCCACTTTAAGCATACATAAGAAAAAAGAGTTGGCATTATTTTTTGGAGAGAAATTTTTTCACTCTGACAAAAGGGAAAAACTCACTAGCTTTGAGAGGAATACAAAAGAAAAAAAATAATTGGGAGGGAAGGGAAATAAAAAATTTCTACAGTATAAAAAATTGATAAAAATGTAAATCACATAAGGGATCAAAAATAAAACCTGGCGTTGGAACTTACCACTTACCTAGCTAAGAATAATAAGCTTAACCTGGGGTAGGTACTGAAGTGCATTATGCTCCTTCTCTGAGACTTCAAACCTCAGAAAATGCACTCAAGTCTGACTTTTATCACACAAACCAAACTCATCCCATTTACCCACTTGATCATCCCATTTACCCAATTTTTAAAGATATTGTTTATATTCATTCTGATTGGCACTATAAGTGAAATCGTAGTCTTCAGCCTTTCTCAGTTGTACAAGCTATTTAGAAGGAAGAGAGATATTTTTCAAGTAGTGTTTATGAATCTTCTTTTTTTACTTTTAAAATTTATTTGCAGGAAGAAACGGATTCTGCAATTTATTTTCTATGGTAAAAATCGTACAATGGATTTCTGTAGTAAAATAATTAGTAATGCCTTGCTCTATCAGAAATGATTGGCAATGAATTTCTGTAGTAAAATTTAGTGTGTGTGTGTGTGTATATATATATATATATATATATATATATATATATATATATATATATATATAGCTATAATAAAAATGACTTATTGCCTTTTCAAAAAGAAATTCTTAACATTTTTCAGAGTAAAAAAAATATTAAAAAAGATTTATAAAGTAAAAATTGTTCACAATTAAACCCAGAAAAGCTTCTGGTAACAATTATCAGGCATTCCTAGGAGATAAGAAAATTAGTAGTTGCATGCATCAGTCACATGGAAAATTGTAGTCTTCTCTGCAGAGCAGGAAAATAATTGGATTTCAACTCTTCATCTAATTTACCTGTATTTAACAAGATACTGAAATTATTAGTATAATGGTTTGATCTGATAGTATATTTGTTAGCATTTTATCATATTTATAAAGTGTTCAGCATTAAACTATGACTAATGATATTAAGTGACCAAAGATACACAAGTTGACCACCTTCCAAATTGTACACCTTAAAAGGCTGAATAGTTTGAGATGAAATGCTGTAGTAACAACAAAAAAAACATTAATAGTTCAAGTAATTCTTGGAATGATGAACTTGAAATTTATGGAATATTCTCATTATCCTGTTTTTTCTTTCTAAATTTTATATCAGTTATTCTTTCAGCTAATAAGCATAACTGCTATGAATAAATAGCTTAGATAAAAACAGGCTGAATTTGAATGATAGATGCACATTTGAAATTCAAAAATATAAGGCAGCCAAAAAAGTCCCATAGAAGAAGTGATCTCTGATATGCGAATGAGTGCATCACATGCCAGGAAATTGGTGGTGGAAGGGGTATTGTTCTTGACCAGTGGGGTGCATTGTGCACACAGATTAGTCATAACTCAAGCAGGGGTAAGGAAACATGGTGGTGTCGAAGCAGCTTGTTTGTGGTTGTCTGCTTTGTGAATTTAAGGTGGGCTTGTCCACAGTCATGTCAAGCCTTTGGGGGTAATGCTGTGAGTGAATACACTGCCAAGCATTGGTTCTAGAACTTCAGGCTGAGAGATCTGCCTGTTTATGATGAACTCCTTAATGGCTGACCACAGATACTGGATGATGAGGCCCTGAAGGCATCCATAGAGGAGGACAACAGCCAAACCTGTGGTGAGCTTGCTGAATGCTTCCAGGTTTCTGATGAAACAATTAAACTTCACCTACACTTCATAGGGAAGGTGTAAAGGTGAGCAAGTAGGTACCCCAACACTTTTGAAAGCCAACAAGTGATGAGTTATGGCCTGTTTCTCAATGCTTTCTCAGCACCACAACATGCCTATATTTGATCAAGTGCTCACCAGTGATAAAAAGTGGGTCCTGTATGACACTCCCAAGCATACCAGACTTTGGTTGTCACCATGGGACTCTGTGCCTCACACCACAAGACTACCTCTACATCCATGCAAGATCATGCTCTGTATCTGGTGGACTAGTTGACAAATGGTGCACTATCAGCTGCTACCAATGGGTCAAACCATCACTGCCAACCTGTACTTGCAGCAGTTTGTACATGTGAAACAGACACAGAAGCAGGAGCCAGCATTGGTTAATTACAAGGGTGTATTGTTCCTCCATGATAATGCCAGGTCTCATGTGGTGTGACTTTGTTTGGAGACATTATGTCATTCATCTTACTCCTTGGACCGTACACCAACAGATTACCACTCCTTTCATTCCCTAGACAACCACCTTTATGGGAAATCCTTTGAAAATGAGACAGACTTATGACAGGCACTCACAGACTTTTTACCACCATGGTATTGCGCAGCTGGATCAACATTAGAAAAATGTTCTGGACACTGATGGGGATTACTTTGAAGATTAATGATATGTCAAATTTGCTGTATACATTGTTTTCTAATAAATAAAAAAAACAGCAAAGACTTTTGGTTACCTTAGAAATCAAAATAAGAAGGGTTTACAAACATTGATCTTTCAGCATGATATGACACTTGTACATTGTCACATATCATCAAAGAAATGATTGATAGAAAATTACCAAATAAATTGCTTGGGTGAGCAGGACAACTGCTTTGCTTAGTAATGTCCCCTGATATCCTATCATGACATTTTTTGTTAAGACCATTTTGTGGTTTACAAAAGAAATTCTGAAAAACTTTAGGATTGAAATAATTCCATTTAAAAAGAAACATGCTTGATATCCTATAAAATGTATCATGATGTTATTCAAAGTTTACATGAAAGATTTCAAATTTACATTAACAATGGTGGCTCTTCTATTGAAAAATTTTAATTCTACTTAATATTCAATTATTTTTGGTTTTCATAAAACAAAAACTTCCTATTCTATCTGATTTCGCTTTCCTTCTATTTTGGTTTCAAATGTACTAGTAATCTGTGTATAGCATTCTTGTAAAAGCCTGTGGATTCTATAAATGAAATCTGATCAATCAGTCCATAGACTAATATAGTTATTAGCTGAATTTTGATCTGAAATTTTCACTGTATAATGTTTATTTATATTCACCTTTGAATTTACTGACACAGAGATTAAACTGTAAAATAAATATGTTATATAAAGTAATTTTTTTCTTCATTAGGTTATGTATGTATGTATGTATTTAGAGAGAGATAAAATAAGTATATAATTTGTAATATTTTGAATATTTATGAGGCCTAATTAAGTGAAATCCTGCTAAGTTATGCCTTGCTATGGAAGGAGAACATTTGAAATGAATTGTCATTAGAAGAAACATTTCATGTTCTTGTTTTTTTATTTAAACTTTAACTTTCATTCAGAAAGAGTTTTATTAATTTTCAAGTTACCATTTTAGCTGCTAGCAATAAAATGTAGATACACTTTGGGGAGACAAAGTGTATCTATATTTATATTAGATGTGTGCAAAAATTTCCAGCACAATATTGGTTTTTCAATTATGTATATAGTGTCTAGTTTTCAAAAAACACATCTAATAAATCTGGTGATTCCTGAAAACATGGCAGTCATATTTAAGCATACAAATAGAAATTAAGTGGATGTTGTATTGTGAATTGAAAAGGTTAATTAAAATAAATTAGCCTCTAAAACTAAAACTGATTTAATCCTTGATTAAAATTCTTGTATTTGATTTGGGGAAAGAAATGGATGCAGCAGATTAATTCTTTGGAAATTCAAACTATCCTTACAAATGGGACAGTTGTTTGCTTTTCAAATTTTTTTCTTTCTTTCAGATCCAAAAGAAAGTCCTGTGAAATATATATAAAATGGTGTATCATTTGGTGCTAAGAAAATTTGGTCTAAAAATCATGGAAATATTATCTTTAAAAAATCAAAATTAAATGTGCAGGAATTAATGGAAGAGCAAAATGGAAACATTCGTGGTAAACAGAAATTAAACATGTAGAAATTAATGAACAACCAAAAGCCAAAGCATCTTACAAAAAATTATTATCAACAAATGTAAAAGTAGGGAAGGAACAATATAGTGAAATAGTGACACAACAAGCACAGAGAAAAATAATTGCCAACACCTGATCTGGAGAACTTTCAAGATGCTTGTAGACATGGAAAAGTCCAGGAGTTGACATAAAGAACACAAAATGGAACTCCTTAAAGGAAGTACTAGTGAATACATAGCAGGTCATCTCAAGCAAAAAGACGAGAAAAGAAAGAAGTGAACAACTTATTAAATTTTCAAACTAATGAAAAAGAGACTTAAACTCAAAGAATGACAGAGAATATAATATAAACAAAGAGATTAGAAATAAATGCAAACAAATAAAAGGAATGGCCCAATTAGAAATGTGCAGAGATAGAAACATTACAGAAGATAGAGATAGAAGATGCATAAAAAATAAAATAAATAGCAGGATAGAAAACATGTTCTTAGATAAGATGTATAAAATCTAAAAAGGGAGCACTTGTAATAGATAAAAAGAAAATATATTACAAAGATGGAACATATACATCTTCCATGACAGCAGAGCGAAATCTATAAGGTATAAAAATATGGAACGGACAGTGCAGCTAGAATCAGAAATAAAATTGGCACTGGTGAAGAGGAATAGGAACAAAGCAAGAGAACCAAATTGGATTGTAATAAAATGTTCTCAGCTTTAGATGATTTGTGGATTGCTAAAATAATAAATGAAATATATGACCAGTGAAGACTTTATAAAATGATCTATTTTCATAGTAATTCCAAAAAAGTCAAGTGAAAATGAATGCAAACTCCATCAGGCAGTCTTTTTAAAAAGCCACATAATCAGTTATCTTTAAGATTCTAATAAATCATTGCAGTTGAATTAAATCAGAAATAGGACAAGAACAATATGGCTTTGTTTAAGACAGTGGAACAAAAAAATGCCATCTTTATTATAATAATGCTATTAGGGCCAGCAATAAAAATGTAGAAAGAGCTATATCAATGTTTTATAGACAAGTGGAACAAAGAAAAATGATTGAAGGATGTTTATATAAACCATAACCTTTATTGGAATAATAATGTGGATAGTGAATAAGTTCAGTGAATATGCAAAAATGGAAATAGGAGTAAGACAAGGATGGCAAGACAATGAAGAGAAAAAATGTATCAGCAGATATAATCTTAAGAGCAAAGAATACAAAAGATGACAATGTTTTAACTAATAAAACTTAGATACTGTAGAAAAACAGAAGAAAAAAAACTGTTAACTGTAAAAAGACAGAATACACAGTTGTCTGCAAAAGACATAGTACATGTTGTGAGTTGTATTAGAGATTTCAAAATCAAGCAGATACAGAAATTTAACTATCTGGGAAGTGTATTAACAGTTGATGAAAAATGTGACACAAAAATCTGAAGTTAGAACTGCAAAAGTTATTTTCCAGAAATTAAGCAAAATATAAAGACACAGAAAAAAAACATTGCTGGAAACAAAGAAAAGAATGCAGAATTGCTATGTAATATCTAATAAATCCTATATGGCAGTGGATGCTGGACAATCTCCTCACAGATGAAGTTCCACTGGCAAGTGATGAGAATATCATGAACAGAACATGTAAGCAACAAAGAAGTTTTAAAGTCAAAAGAACTACAAGGAAACTTATAATTAAAATAGGAAAGAGACAACTGAAAATTCTGGGCCACATAATGAGGAAAGAATTTCACATTTACAGAAGATTTTGAAGGCAAGAGAAATAGTAGGAAACAGTAATCTACAAGTAATTGACTTAACAAGTTTGTGTGAATGGATGACAGAACAGAGACAAAAAGGAATGATAAAGGGTCAAAAGTTATTTAGAGCAAAACAAAAACAGAAAGTTGTAGAAAGCCAGGATCACTCATATCCCATAGGGACATATAAAAGAAGGTAAACAAAGATCAAAATTAAGAGTAGCAATTATTGAAACCCCACATTGTGAAAATATTGATGCTAAACAAATCCTTATTTCTATGATGGCTTTTTCATTAATTCCGACACATTTCATTTGTAGTTTTGGTTACCATTAATATTTCCATAATGTTTTATATTAATTCCTACATATTTAATTTTTCTTTTTCTCTACCATGAATATTTTTGTAATAATCTTTATGAAAATGCTGATGGTCATTGTAATAGCAAATTTCATTGCAAATAGTAATTTCAAAACTAATAAATATCTGTTTTGGAAAATTTGGTTTCAGAAAGTGGAGCCTAAAAAATGACTTGTAAAATTCAACTTGATTTTAAGCTATACACAATGGCTTTCAATAATTTAGATTTATCACTCTGGTTATAGAATTGTACAACGTTTTTCTCATGCTTGAATCAAAGGATTGATGTAGTTCTATGTTATGCAAAATAAGAGCATAATTGAGAGCCAAATCTTGAGACTCAATTTTCTAACCAGCAGAAATAACATTAAATCTCAAGTGAAAGCCACAATTTCCAAGAAACGGCATTTAAAAACAATATTGGTTGATAGTTGTTTAAAATGCATCAGTCAAACTTTTTCTTTTTTCCTCATTATCTTGCTTACTTTCACTCACTTTCTCTCTTTCTGTCACTCACACACACACACACACACACACACACACACACACAATTACTCTCTTTTGCTTTCTTCTTCAGTCTCTTGCTCTCTCATGCACACTTGCTTTCTTTCCTTGGGTATTTTTTTTTATTCTCTCTCTCCCCCTCCGTCCCCTATCTCTCTCTTGTTAGTTTTTCCTTTCTATTTATTGATCTTTCATTTATTGTTCTGTTTCTCTCTTCGGTGCTTTCTCCCTTGCCATTTTGTTCTCTTTTTCTCACTCTACTTGGCATTTGTTGTTTTCCCTTTCTCTGCTTATTCTTGCAGTCTCTCTCCCTTGATAGTTCTTTCTGTTGCTTCTCCTTTTTCTCTCTCTGTCGTCTTCTGCAAGTCTCTTCATTTTTTTCTTTACTCCCCTTATTAATATCACAACTGCTTTCAGCTTTTCATTCACTCTGTCTAGCATCTTTTGTTTTCCATTATTTTTTCTTAATCTCTCAATCTCCTTCTCTCACATTCCATTTTTGTACATTTTCATTTTTCTCACTAACATCATGTCATATTTTACCTTCATTTGACCTCCCCATATTTTTTGATTCAAAGTAAATTATAATGACATATTTTTGGTTTTAATGCAGAGCTGAATCTATTCTCCATTTTATGTTTCAATGCAATTTTCTACTTTGTAATCTCCAAAATTCTTCAGCTTGTTTTGTTTTTTGTCCATTGCAAATGATTTCTCATGAAATGTATTAGAGTCCCTGAGAAAAAAAATTGATGAATTATTTACTTTACAAATTCATTAAGAGTTAATTATATAAAGGCTTTCAATGTGATTTTTTTGAGAAAAACATTAGAAATAAGTACTAATACAAGAATATTATTTGAGTAAAATTAATTGCTAATGGTAAATTATTAAAATTAAAATAGCTAAATTATTACAATTAATTGCCTTAGATAAAAAATTTCTTTGCAATGAAAATATTTTGCTAATGATTTTCATAAGAAAATGTATGACCAATGGTTTTTTACTATGAAAAAAGATTTTACTACAGAAATTGCAGTGCAAATTAATTTTTCTATAAAAATATATTGCAAAATTTTTCACAGAAAATGCATTTCTCCAGGTTTTTGCTATAGATTTGCATTGGAAATAAGTTTTACTATAGATGCATTGAAAAACTTTTTAGCATAGAAAATGCATTGTCAATGATTTTTATTATTGGAATGCACTACCAAATATTATTACTCCGGACAAATCTAGCAAATGGTGTCTTCAGTCATTTTTTTTTTCTTTTTTTTTACTGTTTTTACCTGTCATAAAACTAATTTCTATTGCTATCCATTTCTCTGAAAAGTTATTTTCAATGCATTTCAACAGTAAACTAATTTTTATGCATTATTTTATTGTAAATTAATTTTACTGGATTTCTGTTATAAAATCTTTTAAGTGCATTTCTTTTTGTTCCTTTCTGTGAGACCAAAGAAAAGAAATTGTGTTTTGTAAATGTAGCTTTTCACATTATGACAACATTTAAACATTGACCAGTTTCTTTTCTCTCTCTCTGTCCTCCCAGAAGTTGTATGTGGCAAGAGGCCCCGTTCCCCACGAACAAGACGGGATGAAAGAACAGTAGCTAAGCCCTACCTTTCAAGGATTGTTGGAGGTACAAATGCCACTTACGGCCTCTATCCCTGGCAAGTGGCAGTTCGATTAGTAAGCGCTGTATATTCTGATGGCAGCAAGAGTTCAAGCCATTGGTGTGGGGCTTCAATTCTCAGTAAATTTTGGGTCATCTCTGCAGGACACTGCTTCCAGTATGTATTCTTGATAAAATGCCAATATTTGATTAAAAACAAGGAAAGTGGTTAATTTTGTTAGATTTTCAATGTTTATTTGGCTGATAATTTATCAAAATTATAAATGAATCAGTTGATAATCATTTATTGTCTGATTAATGGTAATGAAGCATTATCTATCTTACAATGATAAGCCAAATATATTTGTGTTTTTTTGTTTTTTGGAATGTTTAACTTTTACTGTTATAGTACATAAATACAGTTATCTCCTTTACACTGATGTTGTTAAGTGCTAGTGTCATCATTATTATAATGCCAGTTCAAATGTTTATACAACTGGAACATGAAATGACTGATTCCATGAAAAAAACATAAAGACATTTAAAAACATTTAAAGACTCACATTTGAAAACCTTCTCATAATAGTAAAGATTTAACAAAATATACTCTCATTTTTGACAGCATGAGTAATCTTGTATTAATATAAGATTCTGCTGAATATAAAGCTGGTGATCGGTTTTCTTTTGGTATTAAGTAATAAACTTGTCCCACAAGAATTACTATATATTATATAATTGAGAAAATGCATTTAAAGATTGACATGTGAAAACCTTTTAATAATAGTAAGGACATAACAAAATTTCAATATGCAAGCTGCCATTTTTTGGCAGTGTGGGTAAAGTACTTATTAATTTTTGGCTCGTAATTCTTTCATCTTATTTCGTCACAACTTCTAGATTGGTGATTGATTGATATAGATATTTAGTATGCAATATAGATTAGAAATAAGACATACCTCTGGCTAGGTTTGAACTTGAAAACCTGCCTTTCTGTGGCAGCACATAATCCATTGGGCTACAAAGGCTTATCAATAGAAGATATCTGATTTTAACTTTGTAGCTATTTAGTTCTCCAAATGTTATATGCCATTCCTTATTTTTAATCCATGCTACTTAACAAAACTTCTGATCTTTATACCCTATAAAACACATTTCAAGAAACTCTTGTTATAAATCCTGTCTCATATATTCTGCAAATTGAGAGTCGAAGAATCTATAGCATTGAACTCTGAAGACAATATACCAGTTATAATGCCACTTTCTACTTAAATGGAGTAGGTTTCAAGAAAAAAAGTCTAGAGTACCATTTAAGCATTTATTCAAGTCTATTAGAATGCTGTTATAATATTTTTTCTACTGATATCGGAAGCTAAAAGTTTTTCTTAATGTTCTTTTATGCATAAAATTCAGTTTAACAAAACTATTACTTATGTACAGGTCAACCCACAACTTTTGGCTTAAAACTTTGATCAAACTTAAATATGTGTGTGTGTGCGCGTGCTACTTTTGTACCTAAGTACCATATTTGATAGAAGGCATTACTCACAGGTATATAAGACTCCCGACATCCTATTTTTGCAGGGACTATTTTTAGTGTTAGGAACATCATGAATTTCAGGCTTTCTCACAGAGGGACCACATTGTGATATTTAGGGTGATGGTCTTGCAGGTTACATGTGAGCAAGCAGTTCAACATAATTTCAAACTTGAGGGCAATGGTGGAAAATATGTTCACTTCTCTCAGATCTGCACCTACTGCACTTAGTTGGTGAAGAAGTAAATAAATTGTGATTCTAAGCGGTGCAAAAATACTGCATTGATCATTGGCAGTAGTGCAATTTTGTATAATTAATCCTGACATTTTTCCATGTACTGTACTACCAATAATAATAATGCTGATAATACAGTATTATGGAGTTAAATTAGATACAAGCACTGCTATTCTGTAATATGTGAGAAAACATTATCTTATGCCAGCTTTACATATAAGACCAGTAGAGATATTTTTAGCCATTTGGGCAGAAAAAAAAAATTAGTCTTATATGCCATCAAAAAGGATGTTTTGTATGCCATATAAAAAAAAAGTGTGTCATATGTGTCATCTCATACAATACACTCTTTTCCTGGATTTTAAACTTGTTTTTTTTTTTATTTAAAAATGTTTCTTTCACCATATTTTGAATTATTTTTTTCAGTATGTACTAATGTTTTTCTTTGTTCCATACTTTTGCCTTGTATTGTCTTTTTTTAAACTTTCACTTTGCATTTGTCTCGCATTAAACTAACAGCATGGTTCCCTTTTACATACATCCAGGAATGGCTTGATGCATTTTATGCAGTATTTTAACCTGAAATGTTTACTTGATAGTAAAATAGTTATTTGTTGGAGTAAGTCATATTGCCAAGCAGCCATAAAGCTCTATCAAATATATAAAAAAAAATGTATCAGCAATATCAATTTACATGTCCTTAGTTAATTACATATTTTCTGTTAGTACCAGAAGTTCATGTTACACCAGTTTTCCAAGTAGAGGGTACTTGCTTGCCTCGAAAATCAACATTGAAAATAAGTAAGAGTAAAACCAGGATTTATATTTGGAAGATATATACAAATCTATATATCGACTAATAGATAATCAAATGAAAAAATGGAAAAACTCTTAAGTGACTTTTGTCTCCAAAAGATATTCCTTCAGACCATAATTTCAATTTAAAGAATACAGCATTCATTAAAATAGAAAGTAATTTATTAAGGGGAAAATGTATTGAAAGTGCATGAATTTCACTCTTTACTGTAGATTTATGTCCAGAATATTGCAACATATCTCCTTTCCTGACAAAACTACTGCTGTAACAATGTGGGATATTTAAAAATAATAGCAATAAAAATAGAAACAAAAGTTATAGAAAGCTGAATGAGTTTGGCTAAATTAAACATCTAGAGACACTAGACATCAAAATCTCCCCTCTCCATATATAAGGCTGAATCCATTGAATCTATTTTACATCTGAAGAAGTTCCTTCTGGAGACAAAACACATTACTTAGAAGTTATTTTTATTTTGTCCCATATAGAAGTCAATAATGTTTTTGATATTGTGTCTTTATGTGTCAACTCACACAAAGCTGATTTATGATGATGCAATATTTGAAAGCAACCAAGTAGCACAATACATTGCTGCTTTAGATGCATTCTCATTAATCTGTAAACAGATTCTTTCAATAATGGCTTACAAAAGGTGAAAACACTCATAAAATATAAGACAGTTTATGTTCAAGCTTAAATTGGAACTTCAGAGAAAAAGAAAGAGCTTTTGTTGGTCATTAACTAAACTTTGACATGTACACACACACACACAGACATACATATAATATAAAAAAAAATTACTTAATTTTAGCTTTAAATATCAATTTTTTTTGTTGTTTTCCCTGATTTTGAAGTTTCTTGATAAGCCATTCTTCAAGGGGTTCTGTTTTTTAAATATAAATGTGTTATATATAACCTTAGATAATAGGTTAGTTCTTCAGTTGGAAGAACAGCTACTACAGTCATCTGAATTTTGTTCCTTTCCTCATATTGTGACTTGTGCCATACTAAACAAGTAAGTTGGAGCAGATTGCTTGAAGGATTGGGGCTATACAGTCTTCTATGTCTTTCCTGCCATTTGACCTTCTGCTACACTCGGATCAAATTGGTAAATATTGAAAAACACTTAATTCTGGAAAATAAATTCAGAGTGAATGTCTGGAATTTTATCCCTTTGCTTGTCAAGTATTGTGTTTTTGTTTCATAGTGACATGTGGCAGGAGGCCAATAAAACAAAGGTCGCAACGCATTTCTGGTGGTCAGGTTGCCAAATATGGTGCTTTTCCATGGCAAGCAAGAATTCTGAAAGTTTGGTTCTGGGGAAAACTGCATCACTGTGGGGCTGCTGTTATCAATAAATTTTGGCTACTCACTGCTGCCCATTGTTTAAAGTAAGTTTCATTAAAAAACAAAAAAAAAGGTAATGTTTGTTTCAAAATTGAATTTCAGCCTTTTTACATATTATTTTCCTTTTGCTTTATTTCTTTTTAACAAGATTTGATTTTGCTCTGTGGAATGCAACTTTTAAAATGTGATTGTCTTTTTGCTTTTTTAATGTAATGTATTATCTTATAGTTTAATTTTATAACAATTAACTTGAAAAAATACTGGCTTTTTTAATTTAATCACAATGCTTAAGCCAGATTCATTTTTTTGTCTTTTTTATGTCTTAATCATATATTCATAAAAATTATTTATCTTTTCCTCTTTTTAACAAATTTGGTTTTGCCCTGTGGAATGTGATTTTTTTCTTTTCAATATAATTTATTCTCCAAGAGTTTAATTTCATAAAAGATAACTTAAAAAGAAATAATGACACTGGTATTTTTAATTTAATTACAAGCTAGCTTAATTTCTTATCTTTTTCAAATCTCAGTTATATATTCTTGAAAATTTCAAACCGTCTGTGTACATAAAAAAAAATTTCATGAGACAATTTTTCCAGTATATTTCCTAATTTTCATAGTATTTTATTTTATAAGCAACTGCCCAGAAACAAATTGGATCTACATTGTTTTTCTTTTAGGTTACTATTTGAGTTTGTATAACTTTTAAACTATTATAAAAAAAATCCAAAAAACAAGAGTCCATATCCATGATTGGTGTCACTGAAAACGATGACAATAGTAATAAATAAATATTTTTTAAACATACATGACATCTGCTTCACTTTGGGATAAGACGTCATGTGTGATTGCATTTTGCGACTGAGAAATCATTCTCTTGTTATAAGCAACTGCAATTCAAGTCATGGCCCCTTATCTAGCATACATGCACTATGTCTGTACTCTAGGCTTAACAGCTAAGAATTGATGTGGCCTATTGGCGTGAAAAGTTTCCCGCATGTACAGAGTGTGGCATCACCTCCAACCCCCAAATGATTTTGTTAATGTGGCATTAGTTTTGACAGGAAACTTTTTGAATGCACCTTGTGTATAATACATATATATATATAGGGGGTATAGAAAGTAATTACCTTTTACCAGAAAGGATATAAAAATAAATGTAAGTTAAATTTATTCAAATATTATTTATCAAAAATGTAATCACCTTCATTTTCAACAACTGCAGCTGTAACTCAACAGGAATGCAAGCTTTTGAGTCTGTTTTAAAAAAAAATTGTTTTGTTTCTGAATGTTCTGATATAGATGTAGCAGCCTTGTTTTTCTGCTACTTTCGAGGCATATAATGTAGTTACAAAATAATAGTTTTGCAAAGTGCTCATTTTTCTATCCTCTTCTTCCTGAACCATTGTGGTGAGCCAGTGATAAGAGATTTTGTCATGATATCTGGTAATGGGGCAGATTAAAGAGAGAATTAAATGTATGTTTTTGGTGTGGAGTGAACATGAACAACATCATTTGAAAGTTTGTTGAGTCCTTTTTCTATGTCGGTCTCCATTACACCACCTGATGAAATGTTATTAAACCTGAGCATGGAAGAAATCAGTACATATATACAAAAGTTGCACATTTATGCTGATGACACAACCATTCACACCCATCTTAATAGTAAATCCAATAGGTCTGATAAAGTAAAACCGGCAGCTGATCTCAAAAATGACCTCTAATTAGTTGTTAACTGAGGCAAGAAATGGCTTGTAAATTTTAATACCTCCATAATGAAACTGCTATCTTTTAGTCATCATAGGGAACTATTTTTGCCTTCCATCAGCATGACTGATGTTGATGTCATTGCACATTTTTGGTCTCATGTTTCCCACTAATATGAAGTAGAAAGATTATAGTGAATCAATTCCTAGGTATAGAAGAAGTTGATTTACTATGTTGTGCCAGACAATTTTTCTCACCAGAATCCTTCTTGCACAGTTATAAATCTACCATTCGTCTGTGCATTGAATATTGGCTGCCATATTTGGTCTGGTGCCCCTGTTACATATCTCAAGATTCTTCTCTTGTACTTCTCATCTCTGGAACTCTCTTCTGGTTTCTCGCTTCCCTGCTACCTACAATCTTCAAAAGTTTAAATGAAACTTCACTCACCATTTCTGTCGTTCTGAAACCTATTTTTTTTATTGTTCTTTCTCCTCACTAACATTTTGTCATTTTCTTTCACTCTCAGTGACCCCTTGTATGAAATGATTAAAAAAAAAAAGACATCTATTTAGTGAACTCTTCTGGTAACATAGTAGAAATTGAATTTTATGTTAAACTTGGTAATTATTCCATGGTGAATGGAATTGTTACTTGTCAATTTGTATGGAAGAAAATTTTTTATCTGAGAAAGATGAATATACACACACACACACACACACACACACACACACACACACACACACACACATATATACAGACAGTGAAAGCATCAATTTGTTTATTCTTTGACATATTTTAGTGCTGACTGAAATTGAAGCCAGGTCTACAGAATTTAGATGGATGTTTTTATTGTTTCAGATATATCAATGAGACTAAACCATTTTCAGCCTGTTTTTCTTATTTGGTGATTTCTGTTGTAAAAGATAATTTTTGTTTAGCTTGCATGGATTTATGTGTTGCAATTACAACTTCTATTTATATTTGCATGTGTGTGGAATCATTAGTCAACCATAACTAATTGCTCATGTAACCCATAATATCATGGGTAAAATTTATTAATCAAATCTCTTCATTCTGATATACTGGATTCCCTCCTATATAACAATCACTGTACAACTCATAAGATCAATGCAGATGTCTTCAAGGCTCTCTCTTTGGTTCTACCATCTTCTTTTTTTTACCAATCTGCCTAAGAACATTCTCAGATCATTAGTAAATATCTATGTACTTGATGCTACAGTTTATAGACATGCTTCCAAAAAGAAAAAGGAGCTAAGCCTTGCAGCTGATCTCTGATCTGACCTGGGTTTAAAAGTTCAATAAGGTAAAAAACTTGTTTCACTTTCAATTGAACGGTCAATTGTTATCTATCCTTCTCATTGTCATAATATTCATGTCCTACCACCTTCTTTCATTTATATCATGCTTAGTATATAGAATATAAATAGATAAAATTAGTAAAGATTGTACACCAGTGCCTATATTCTCTGGCTGCAATAAATGAATTTGAGTTTATATACAAACAAGTAAACTTCCAACTTACTTCTATGCTTTTCTCTTGGGTAGCTGAATAAATTTAAATGTGACAGTATAACATTTAAAAATTTATTCAATGGCAGAGAATTTGACAAACTTACAATTTAGAAGAAGTAAATGTAAATATATTTAAACTCCAGTATCCTAATTATTAGGTTATTTAGAAACTAATGACTTTATTGATCAAAATAAAAAAGTCATTAAAATCTACACATTTTTGCCAGATTCAGGTATATTTATTCCAGTAACATAGAATTAAGTTTTGAAGGGAATAAATTATTCAAAGGCATTTTTATGGCTGTTTGGTGATTAAAGAATTTTTTTTAAAAGTTTTTCTTGTAAGAGCTGTTAAAATACATGAAAAAGTGGAAGTTGATTGGTGAAAGATTTGGTGAGTATACTGGATATGGTAGAGTTTCATAGTCTAATTCATTCAACTTCTGGAGGGTTGATTGTACAGCATTGTCATGAAAGGAGATTGGGCCTTTTTTGTTGACTAGTGTTAGGCAAATATGTTGCAATTTCTTAGACATTTCAGTGATTTCATGACAATGTCTCTGCTGTTTTGCCAATATTCAAAAAAGTATAATAGGCTTAGCCAGCTGTGAACCACTAAACATTCATTATAACCTTCTTTTGGTAAAACTTTGGTTTTGGGAAGCTTTTAGGAACTTTACCTCAATCCTACCATTGTGCTGATCATCCAACGTTTTATTGGATGCACTTGTCATTGCTTATAACAATGGATTGTTTTTGTGGCACAAAAAAACAAAGAACAAACCTCATAATGATGATTTTTCTTTCTGTTTTTCATTCATTTTGCATGGACACCCATTTCTCAAGAATCTTTTGATTTTCCAATTCAGTTTAAATGTTCAGGAATTGTCTCAATGCTTGTATCTAGCTCTACTGCAAGGATTTGCTTTTATAAAAGCCTTCAATTGTCATTAATGACAGAAGAACATTTGCAAACTTCCTTATGTTCAAGAGTAAATTAATCACAAGTGGAATGTTTTAAATGAACAAGCATTCATCAACACTTCCCTGGCCACATTCAAATGAGAAATTGGAGAACCAAGTTTGATTTTCACTCAGTTTGCTACATACACATACCCACAGGGGAAAGGTATGAATCCATCCCAGTTATGGTGTAAATAGTATGACTTGTATCTGGTAAAATCATTAATATTCTAAAAAGAAAATGTTAATATTCACTTGAAAAACAAAATAAAAAACATTATTCTTACAATACAAAAAATATTCCGGCTTTAAATAACCCAAAAGGGTTGATAAGCCATTAAAAAATGATTCAATCAATCAATCCTTGGCCATAAACTTCCTTAATGTGTTTAGCCATTTGTTTTACTGAGTTTAAACTCATAAAAATAAATTTGTCAAAAATTCTGTTTTGACCTCTTAACTTCAAATATCTGAACATTACATAAAGTAAGTGTTAAAATGATATTTAATTTTACAGACCTGGCATGAGATTTTATTTTAAAAAAATATTCAAACAAATAAAAACATAATATATACATTCATTTCTGAACAATGTAAAGCTTACAAAATCATCAAAAGCAAAAAAGAAAATAACATAAAAACTTTGATTATTTTCAAAAGATTTAATCAACACAAAAAAATAATAACCTTAAACCAGAAGCAGGAATTTAGAAAATAGATTTTTTGTTCCAAGGAATACATAGGTGAGACATCAACGAATTTAAATAAATTACATGAACATGAAAGGGAACTTTTACAAAACAATACACTCAATGCATTCGTTGTTTATAAAATTCTGACCATAACTTCAACTTAAAAAAATATAGCTTTAATTAAGAGAAGGTATAATTTCTTAAGACAAAAATAATTGAAGGTGTATTAATTTCAGAATCCTCTACAATAAATTTACATCCAGGAACACATATACACAAGTAAATGTAATAATAATAGCAATAATCAACAATAAACAAAAATAATCAATAATAAATAATGGGCAAAAAGTTAACAAACAACATTATAAAATAGCTACAAATAACCACATTCAAATCCACAATTTTTCTACTCTTCTGTAGCTTCTAGAATAATTTGAAACATAACTGTAACTGCTGACTCAAAAACTGTCAGGATAATACAATAGACCTTACTGCCCAAAATACAATACAAATGGCCTAAAGATTGTGTTGAAGCATGAAATATACTGTTGCCACTTGGTGTTGACCTTAGTGCCCACTTTTATGCACTCTATCTCTGATATAGGACACTTTTACACATAAACATAGCATACCTTAAAACTATTTTTATCATGTATATATGTGCACAAGGTATATTTAGACATCAAGTATTCACCCAAACAAGTTTAATTAAAAAGTACCAACAAGGTCTGTCTGTTTAATTTTTTATTGTATTTTTTGAATAAGGTGTTGGGCATTGTACTCAGAATTGTGGATAAATTGTCTGAAGTGCATATTATATTATTTTGTTCAGGTACTTTCAACTATCTGTCATTATCAAGAAGCAATGTGATTTCTGTGTGATAGTTAGAATTCCTTTTCTCTCTCACACACACACAATGTACACAGAGATATTGAAAACATCAGACTAAACATCAGAATTAATTATTTTTTAATTCTTTGTTGGTCAGTCCAAGAACTTTTTCAGCACCTCTTTGTATATACTTTATGTTTTCACAATTTAAGATGCACTTAAAAAGAAAAATTCCTCCCCAAATTACTTTGTGTCTTGTACCCCTATGTATGGGCATAGTTAGAGGTTACCAGTACAAGAGCAACACACTTGTTTGACATCCTAGTAATCTGATGACTTTTAATGAATTAAATGTTGGCAAATACTGTAATCATAAGAGTGAATGAAAGCTTTGAAGCCTTTTTTAACAAATCCTATCCAGGATAACACAGATTACATAAAAAGCTCACTTTTAACAATTTTATTGAATAACATTTTTGTTGCCATATTATTAATGCTAATCTTTTAACATAGTTGCATTTAATTACTTTTTAAAAATGTATTTAAAAATTTTTTTTATTCAGATTCACCAATTTTCAAATGTTTTCACAAAGTTAATTCACCTGTGCTCTATATGTTTTGTTTAGATTTCAATACTGTTTAATAATTTTAAGCAAAATTGTATTTCAGATGTAAATAACATATAATTGTTATTATTTGCAGAAAAAATGTAAAGAAAGAAAGGGTGCTGCTTCGGACAGGAGATCTAAACAGCAAAACGTGGGACGTTCATGAGCAGTCATTTGAAGTCGAGTATTTGATTATACATCCCTCCTATAATAGTATGTCTTTCATTGTTAAGATATTTAATAATGTTAATCTAATAACCCTTCATAAAACAGCATTTCCAAAAGGGTGCCCTCAAATAACAAACTATTTATCTCTGGCTACAATTTTGGAAAGAAGCAGGAGTCATTTCAAACTTGTACCTTCACATTATGGCACACATTTTAATGAATGATTTTATTTTTCATCCTGTGATCAAAAAAAGCAGGAATTTTGTAGAAACATATTTCATAACAAAATTTGTTTTAATACCCTAGCAAGGTAAAAAAAAAACAAAAAAAAACAACCACTTCAAATGATCAACAATTCATGGTAAACATTTTCCATTTTGTTTTATAGAAGCTCAACCAGATCATTCTTGATGTTCAAGTGACATTTCACCATATTTGAAATATGACTTCCACTTGCATACTTTTGTTTCACTGAAGGCATCTTTTAAAAGTTTCTTGGAAACATTACAAAAGTTTTAGCAGACAAAAGAAAACACAACCTCACACACTCTTTTAATTTTTTTTATCAGCCATCTTGAAAATTGACAAATTTGCTTGCAAACTTTAAAAAAAAAACTAATATAAATGCTAATTATACTTACCTCAAATATACCATGATTTTAAATAAGTTAAATATCTCTAATACTGCTCGATCTTTCAACATTGTGTACTATAATAATTACAAAGACTGCTTGTCCTAAAAACATTATTTTCCAGAGATACATTGTTTGACCATTTATCATTTCCTAAAACACAATCTTTGCTATTGTTGTTACCTATATATTTCAGTTTGTCACCCATTTTAGGATTGTTGGACAGTATGTGTACTGCAGTAAAAATGGGTGTGTCTAAGGCAAAATATTCTGTAAAAGACTTCAGACTGGTTTTGAATTCAATTATACTTCTCTTAGATCAGTTGTCATACAAGGATATAAAGCCAAGTCTGCCCTACTATTTGATCTATAATTAGGGTGATAAAAACATGAATTTGTGTCTTTCCCAAAAGTATTAATGCAAAGTGAATGCAAACAACCTTACTTCAGTCAGAGATTGAACTTTACACTCACAATATACATTTACAGGCAACAACAAAATTATTTGTATACCCATCAATTTTGAATATTTTTATCCATTTCTCAGAATCTAATGCCCATATGATGCCAGGTTTTTTATATGTTATTAAGCATAAAAAGAAAAGGAATATAAAACTCAAATTTTAGGAACAATAGGTTAGACACAAATTTGACAGGTGAATTATGCAAAATAGGAAAAGACAAAATTATTCATCCAGTAGAAAATATCATTTTAAATTGATTGATTCATGTAAGTATTAGTAATTTGCATAATTACTTTATCGGTGAAGCCTTCTAGACTATTATAAATATTTGTGATAATTCCAGCAAAGAACATTGCCTAGTGCATAGTGTGTTACCATTGTTATTCTTACGTTAAGAACACTCTGGGGAAGACAAAAGAACTTAGCATTGACTTGAGACAGAGAATTATTAACTTCCACAAGTCAGGAAATAGTTACAGCACTATTTCAAACTGGTTAGCTATCCCTAGATCTATGGTACAGTCTGTTATAAAGTAGTTTAAACAGTTTGGTATGATGGAGAATTTGCCTGGGTGTGGAAGAAAACCCAAATTGTTACTGAGAACTTCACAAAAAGTGTGTTGCGAGATTAATATAAACCCAAGAATTGTTTTGAAAGACATTGCCAAAAGGAGAGGATGAAAAGATATGTATTCAGATAGGCCTAGGGTCTTGATAAAAAGAAAGAGATATTTCAAATTTTGTTTAAAAGATATTTTTAGTTTGTAGACATGTTGACCTAATTTTTGGAGTGGCACAATGAAGTAGAAAGGGATCTTTAGATGGTTAAAGAGGAAAGAAAGGAGAGAGAAAAAAATTTTCATCCTCTCCTCTGCCTATTTTAAATCTGCATAAATTATGTTTATACCTGTTTTTGAACCTGGTAAAATATTAATCCATTCATTTGTGTGTGATGGCTTTGGTCTGAAGATTTGAAATCAATTTTTTTTTGATTTTAATGAAATAAATATTGTCATGGTCTTTGTTTTCATAATTAATTATATAGGAAGTGCCAAGTATCTTAGAACATATCTTTAGTCAACCATGAATAGAAGATGACATAACATTTGGCATGCCCCAAATTTTTAACATTCCCGTTTTTCTTTCAAATGTATCAAGAGCATTAACATTGCAGCCTAGAATCTGACACATAAAATAAAAAGCCACACTGTGTTCATTAAATTATCTGCCATCTACAGTGAATAAGAGATAGCCAGTTTCTTGTAGTGATAAACAGAGTAAATGACAAGTGACCCTTGACAAAACCGGACAGTGCTACCCAAAGTGATATATACTAAGTTCATGTCATCTGTGATGGTTCTGGGGTCATGAGCAATTTAAATTTAATATTACAGCATCATGGGATTAAGCTAGGTACATGAACTGATAGTCTATGGCATCTGGGTAAACATTAGCCTACCAGATCTGTCAACTTTGCATATAAACCTATTGTTTACATTGAGTTTTTATATATTTTTTATTTTGGGCTGGGGCTAACTAAAAAGTACTGGTAGTCTATGGCATCTAGATTAAACATTAGGATAAAAATATTCACAAATTGATGGCTGTATGAATAATTCCCTTATTTACATGATATATTCCATTATTAAATAGAAATGAAAGGCGAAGCTAGTTTCATAGAATGTTTGTGCCTCCTTCATGATTTTTATATTTAAAAAAAAAAAAAAAATTCATAATATCCAGTAGTAGCTGTAAATCAAGTTTATACTTTCAAGTTCAGTATTTTTCTTCTAAGATAAATGAGTAATACTGAACTTGATCACAAGCCTAAACATGTAATAAAGTTGAGCATGCATATCTATTAAGTTATTAATTTATTTTTTTGTGCTATTATCCTAGCTCAGAATTGAATTGTATTTAAAATCCCTACAAACAGTATGATAAGAAAATATTTTTATGTATTCCAAATATCTGTAGGTTTGAAATAATAATGTGATTTCAATAAATTATATCTTTCTTAAAGACATTCTATAAAATGTTCACTAAAACAAATATTTGGTTTTGGAATGCCTGCTACCAAAGGACTAACTGATGTAATGTGCTTATCTTGCAAACTAGTGATAATCAGTTTAAGCCTTATTTCCAGCTGGTACTTTGGTATTTTTTTTTTTTTTAAATTCATATTAAATAATTTTGGGAACTTTTATGCTTGGTTACTTAAAATGTACAGATGTAGTAACACACATTTTTATAAGTACATGAATATGGTATTTGATGTATTATCTGTATTAATAAATAAAGCAATAAGAAATTCCCTTCCATAAGTATTTCAAATTCTAAATAATGGAACACTCCTAAAACCACATTTTTTTTTTTTTTAAATACTACATTCCCCAATGTCAAAAACAAATTGTCAAAAAACTGATTTGTTAAATGATATTCAAAAAAATTTTTGTTGGTTTTATGCATGATTTTCTAAATCTGAAAATGGACAGATATTTTTCAAAATTATAAGTATAAAAATTTTATGAGTTTATAAACTTTTTATGATTGTAATAATTGTCTTTTATATCAATTTTTAAAAGTATGGATTAACTTTCATTGCAATATTTTTTATCTGCAAGTTTACCAGACAAAATGACCAATCAATTGGAAGACTTTTTCAACATTGACTATGTTAATTGGACTGAAGGATAATTTACTACTATGGTTTTGACAATGACCAAATTAGTTACCAATGTTACTTTTTTTTCTAACTTCTATTGGTTGGTGATATTGGGAAAGCTTTTTTCAAAAGTCCAGTTGCATTTGGGCTACTAAATTTTTATTTATTTATTAAAATCTTTTTTTTTCACCTTTTTCAGTACTCATTTTCTTCCATGTTTTGTTATCTTTTACATTGTTCATATACACAAAATTTTCAAAATATAAAATTCTGTGTCAGTTTTAGATCATCCATAGTTCAATCTTTCATAAAATAAAGCTCACTAAAATCACATAGGAAAATATTGCCTATCCACTGTTATGACCTTTTCTTTTTGAATTAGAAGCAAAAGACACCCAGTTCTAAATAAATGTAAAATTTTTTCACTATATTTTATATAAATATATATATATTTATATATATAAATTCCATTTTCATAAATAAATATTTTAAATGCCCTACTTTAAAAAAAAAATTTTAAAGATAACCCAAATGTTTGTAAAAAAAAACAAATGTTAGTGACAATCAACAGTAATTTTATATACACAAAAAACGGATCAGAAAAAAAAGCTTTAAAAATAAAATAAAAAACTTTTCATTTTAAACTTTATAGACTTACAATTAACCAAACTAGATGATGTCAAAGATATTTATATTATTACAATATATTTTAGAACCTGATCCTGACTTGACATCTGTGAATGTTTTCAGATATTAATACAAAAAATTAACCAACATGTATATTTAAACAATTACTCTAGCCATTACCATAATAATTTTAATTTCAATAATGAATATGCTTATAAAAAGCTAAATTTGAGAATATGTTAGGAAACAAAAAATTTTTCTTTAAAGATGGAACTTAAAAAGTAAGGAATTTAATTCAAATAATTATTTGAAGTTTTTTTTTTGTTTTGAAACATGAGAATTCTTCATGATCATAAAAAAATTAAAATAGACATAATCATTCTATCCTTCATGTTGACTTTTTGTCTTCATGCTACAAGCAATTTAACACAAAAGTCTAATGTCCCTTCAGGATGTTTGTTCCTATGGAAACAACTAGTATTTTTCTTTATTCTCAATGATTGGTCAAGACTTCTTGGCAAAGACATTGGAATATATATTATATATATATATATAGTTTTGAACACAGAATTATCACACAGTAGACTCATCTGCATACAAGGTTAGGTTTGTCTCCCAGTTCTCCATTTAGGATTATAACACAAGATAATGACCTAA